ATAATAATATAATAATAATAATAATAATAATAATAATAATAATATATGTGATCAGCTTATGGATGATCTGAGAAGAAATATTTGTTCTGCTACTACTAATAATAATATTGTTAATGTTGTTTAAGAATCTGAGAGTACATAGCGGAAGTCCTCGGTGAGATGGCCAAAAGTTCAAGCTGTGGGTCATCAAATGACAAAGACCCGCATCATGAAACACTTGTCCTGTTTCCTGACAAACATTATACCTACTTGAGAGTACATGTTTCTGTCCACAGATGGAAGAGGTTTCACAGGATTCCAGGCTGGTCAACAGTCGCCAAACCTTTTTGCGACTTGTGTGAGCGACTACACACAGACAACGACACTAAAGTATACAACAATCTGAAGAAATGGTTTGTCGATGACTCTCACTGCAAGTATAAGAGCAACCGGGATGTCTCCGCGTTCATTAATGGACATGGTCTTCACTGACAGAAGTTTTCCATTACTGACAATTTTCATTGTCCTTGTGTTATTTACATGTTGGCTGGGCACCTTGGCAGCACTGACTAGGTCAGACATTGTAAACTTATAATACTAAGTATTTATTACAAATACAGTTTACACACTTGAATACTAATATAAAGAAGGGAATGTACGGGAAGTATAGTGGTACCAACACACTTATATGGGTGTGAAGCATGGGTTGTAAATACTGCAGCGAGGAGGAGGCTGGAGGCAATGGAGATGTCGTGTCTAAGGGAAATGTGTGGAAATTAGGAGGTGTGGAGTTACTAAAATTATTACTCAGGGGGCTGAGGGGTTGTTGAGCTGGTTTGGTCATTTAGAGTTCTCCAAGGTAGTATTCTGGGTCCCTTATTATTCTTATGCTATGTCAATGACATGCCTATCGGTGTCAAGTGCAAACTCCTACTGTATGCAGATGACAGCGCTCTGTTAGTGTCAGGTAAAGACCCAGAAGATATAGCTAATGTATTATCACTGGAACTGGAGTCCTGCAGCAAATGGTTAGTAGACAAACTATCATTACACCTCGGGAAAACTGAAGTCATTCTCTTTGGCACGAAACATAAACTGAGAAGAGTAAATAATTTTAATGTCCAGTGTAATGGGGAGCCCATCACTTTGGTTTCATCAGTAAAATATCTGGGAATCCCCTTTGACCAATGCATGTCAGGAGAATTGATAGGGAACAATGTAGTAAAGAAAGCGAATGCCAGACAAGTTCCTCTATAGACAAGCACAGTGTCTACCTACTGAGGCTCGCAGGACCCTATGTCTAGCCCTTATACAGTGTCATATGGATTATGCTTGCTCTTCATGGTACTCTGCCTTGACAAAAAAAACCGAAAGATAGACTGCAAATCACCCAGAACAAAATTGTAAGATTCATCCTGGACCTGGGTCCAAGAGAGCATGTAGGCCAGAATGAATTACAGCAGTTGGATATGCTGAATATTGAAGGCAGAGTAAAACAACTGAAGCTAAATCATATTTATAAAATTGCTCACAGTGTCCAGAATATCTTACTGCCAATTTTGTCAAGGTTGGGAGCCAAAGCAATCATAGTACTAGGTGGAGAGGGCACAACTTTGTAGTACCCACAGTCCGTGGCCAGGCTTCAAACACCTTTTATTGTATAGCAATAAAGGAATGGAACAGACTGCCTGCAAATGTCAAAGCCATGCATAGCATGAACCAGTTCAAGAATAGTGCCAAAAGGTGCCTAATGAATGTAGCTACAGAAAGGGAGGGGAATGATTTTTTATTTTTTAGCTAACACACTGTAATTTTACCTTATTCTTAGTAATGACCCTTGTATTGCAGATAGTCTTAATGACCCTCGTGTAGTAGATAGTCTTAATGACCCTCGTGTAATAGACAGTCTTTTTAGTATAATAATAAGATGTTATCTTCATTATAGAATAATAAGAAAATATTATACCCTTTATATTATAATAAAAAGGTAAAAGGACCCCAATGGAAATAAGTCACTCTGTCTGACTTCTTTGGGTTATCCCAGGTTTTCTACACATATGCTGCTATGTATGATAATCTATGTAACTGTATTTGTGTATACCTGAATAAACTTACTTACTCACCTAAAACCTCTAATAACCCAGCAAAAGGCAACAATAAGAATGATAACAAATTCCCACTCCCGCCAGCATACTCCACCAATTTTCAAAAGTCTGAATCTGCTCACTATTAAGAACATCCATACTTATTCATGTGCCTACTACATATACAGAACAATACACACAAATATAAACCCTCCACTCAAACTTCTCCTCACCAACCTTAACAAGACATATGACCATAACACAAGACACAGATCTCTTTTTGATGTACATCTTGTCCATATCACACTGTGTAAAAACTCTAATCACATAAAGGGCCCCAAAACATGGAATTCATTATCAGAAGATATTAAAGTAACCCGGTCTGAAAATCAATTTAAGACTCTTCTCAAAAGCCACTTAACCACCCTAGACTAAATGCTAAATACTCAGTACACACTTACTTATGTTCTTCCACATCATAGCTTCAACAATCACTTTGAACCTTTTATCCATTGTTGACAGGAATATAATTAAATCATTGTTTTCACAAAAAGCATTTTTTAATATATGAATATATCTTTTGTCTTATACAAATTTGAATTCATTTATAATTAATAATCTACTGTATAAGTATAAAAAAATTACTATCCTACTGTACAACTATGATATAATCCTTAGTGTTAAGTAGTCAGTAAGTCAATAATGTTAAGTTGGCCCATAATGTCTAGGCATAACAGAGGTTCTCTTTGCATCGAAACCCACTATTGTAAATACAAAATCTCAATGTACTATTTGCAAAGATATTAAATAAATAAATAACAGTGCCACGATCACAAGTGTAAAGAATATGATAGAATGGATAATGAGAACGTTCAGAACGAGAGATGCCAATCCAATGATGTGTTCAGTCCATCAATCTTGTAGAATGTACATTCTACAAGATTGATGGACTGAACACATCGACTCCAGGCCGAGGGACTGATTACCTCATACTCCTCCTCTCCTTACGCCTTCCTCTTTGTATTGGACTGATGAAGCCACTGTGTGGCGAAACGTTTCCTGAATAAAGATTCTCATATGCTGCATAAGTGTCTCAATCTTCAGTAACAGCCTGGTTGATCAGGCCCTGATCCACCGGGAGGCCTGGTCGTAGACCGGGCCGCGGGGGCGTTGATCCCCGGAATAACCTCCAGGTAAGCCAAGAGTTGTTATCCAACCTCAGCACATTTCAAAACCCTGCCCTGTCGAAGGTATACTACCACCCTCCCAGGATGCCACCCACAACAGTGGATTAACACCCAAGTACCTACATACTCCTTTGTGAACAAGGGGTAAAATATGTATGGAAACATGCTCAACGTTTCCACCGTGCCGGGGATCGAACCATAGAGCCCTCAGTGAGCAGAGTGCGCTACCAACCGAACCACAGAACACCATAATTTCGAAGTATTCCTATTTTGCACATTTGTTTCAATAATTTGATACTGATTGTAATACAAAGTAACCTTACCATCATTTGCCTTATCTGTGTTATGAACGTCATTGAACAAGTCCTCAGATATGTATGGACAACCCTCCGCCACATCCCACACAGCCTAATTTATTTCTATTGCCAGATAAATGGGATTCAAATTAAATGAAAGCGTGCCTGAATTCCAAAAGTTAATATAAATCGTAGATGCTCCAGTGTCATGTGTCGCAACATGTGTCGCAACCTGACTGTTCTTCAGTGTAGATATCACAGTCGCTCGTTCAGCCTATGTATCGTTTCCCTAGTAATAAGAATGCTGGAGTTTATTAACGTTCCTTCTCCAGGTAGGCCGCATTCTAAGTACGTTCCAACTCTGGGCATTGTAACACTAGTGTAAGGTAAAAACTAAAGGTGTCTAGACGTGAACAACAGAAACTCAACCAGAGCCACAAGCCAACTCCATCTTCACAGTTCTGACCTCAACCTCACACAGACTGGACCTCATGGTTGGGTGGCTAATTGGGCTTAAAGACTATCAACTACTCATAGGGTCGTTATGGATGCATGTTACCTATTTACCACAAAAAAATAACAAAAATAACCATTCTTGTTCTACTACTACTACTACTACCACCACCACCTCTTCCTGCCTATATATAGCCGTCCTGCTCCACTTCTGGTTAGTGTGACTTTGTAAATGGTCCAAGTCGGACCGAAACGTCGTCGTAAGCTTCTCTCTTTTATGTGCGGGTTATTTGTGTATATTTACCACCAGTCAAGAATCCTCTAATTTCCAAAATAGAGGTTAAATTAAACTGTCAGGGTATATACACTGAGAGACGTACACTTCTCGGTGTATATACCCAGAGATGTACACCTCTAGGTGTATATACTAGTACACTGAACGTACACTTCTCGGTATATATACACTGACTTCATCCCCATAACATTCATACGGTTGTTCACACTCCAGTGTTACTATAATGTTTGCGTTAATAAGCAGTGTTAAATTAATGGTAAAGTTGTTTATTGTAACAAAGTTACGTTTAAAGTTGCATACTTTCTATTTTTTAATCTGTTGACTTTGTTTTAATTAGAAAATTTTTGTTGTGTGAAAACCAAGTATTATTCTCAGAATAGCTGTAGTGTTAAACTCCAGTGTGTTAAGCTTCATGACGTTAAACCCCATTGTATTAAACCCCTGCATCACTACTACAGCACTGATGATGTGGTTTAACACTATATTTGTAAAAAATGCGTTGAAGATGTTTATGAGTGTTACATATTATATACATTCAGTGTGCGCGTACACACCTGTGAATAATACCACACTCAGTCTTCCTCCTCTAACATGTGTGAAAATAGGTACAACAAGTGGTGAATATACATACTATTGATGTTTTACCCCCTAGAGAGTGAGAGAGAGAGAGAGAGATACAGAGATAAAGAGATTACTTATCGTTATCAGAAAGAAGGGAAGGGCTGCAATGAGAAGGGGTGTTACTTCTCGTTCACTCAGTATGTTTCACTTGATATTGTAGTTCAGAGCTTGTATACAAGCCACGTGGAAGAACACGTTACGTGGCTCGCTATCAGCACAGCTGTGGATCCGTTCGCCTCTCAGATCGCCTCTAGCACCCGCACCCCTAGCCTGTACTTCACCCTCTGCAATGTACAGAAAGGTTAGTATACAACACTACATAACAGTTTGTGTGTTACATTAATAAGTCTTCTTGATTGCCCCTTTCTTTTAAAGACTGTGTTTCACCGTTACACTAATAAAAAGGACGATTTATTATCTAATTTGGGGATTAAGGTCCATGTATGTACACTGAGAGCTATACACTTCTTGGTGTATATAAACCGATAAATATACAACTCTTAGTGCATAAAAAGGCTTCAAGGAAGAATATTTGGATTTCTTCCTGAAGCCGTTTGAATATTCCACTTCCCCTACCACCCCATCTTTTAGTATATATTTTTTTTTTACCAATAGGAATATTTTATTACATAATATGGTACAGAAGATTTAAGAGATACATTGTTGATATAAAGGTGGCATATAAGGTACATGTTGTTACGTGTGTATCACCGATTATAAGGCGAAAATCTCATCCAGCTCCTCAGAGCTGGGGCGTGTTCCCAAAATACAGCAGGCATTACCCCTTTGAACAGCCGCACTGAGCCGCTGGAACAGAAAACTAGCTGCCCTGGGATCCCTAGTTACCCTGATGAGTCTTTTTCCCAGCTCCTTAAGGAATTTAGATGCACTCTTTCCCCATGAGCCAAGGGTCTCTGAGCCTATGGGAACAAACATGTAATGATGGGCAAGTTCTCCATATTTTCTAGACTTTTGGGACTCCCTGAAGCTGGCAGCTGCCCCTCCTTCCTCCCTGGTGTATTGGAAATAGGTATCAGCCAAGGTAGATGCACATGTATAGTCCCACACCACCTGCTTCCCATCTGTCCAGGCTTGAAGGGTGATACCATCTGGACGCTTCTGGCTGCCATCAGATCTGCATAGTTGGGGTGGCTCCCTTACTGCTGGGCATCCAGCTGTTGTGAGGCTCCTCTTGATAATGTTATTAACCTCCTCATGTCTTGCAATCTTTCCCTCGGATTTACGGCACACAAGACCATGGTACCCGAATCGGTCTGCTGCTTCACTGCCACAAATACACCTGTGTTCGGCGAGAATAGGGGCGGCAAGTCGAAGGACAACACCGATGCGGATGGTCTGTGGGTCGAGGCGTGTGCCAAGGCTGGAGTTGGAAACAGCCAACAGAAAGTCCCCAGCATGAGGGGCTCTCACTGCCAGCAGGCGGGCTCTATCCTTCCCTGACACACTCTGAAGCATTGTTGAGGCTATATTTTCCACTACTGGACCATCCCAGTGCGATTGTTTGTAGTTGTTGGGGGAGCAGGTCTGGTTTCTGAGCCCGTTAGATTATCCCAGATCATTGCTCCGTCAATGAATTTTTGGTCCTGGACTCCAATCTTGTCCCTAAGATGTTCAGGGAGAATCTCTGCTACAAGTTCTCTGGATGCAATACACGAGGACAGAAAAGCAGGTAACGCAATCTGTGATGACTTGCGGACACCAATGCCTCCTAGTCTGACTGGAAGTGTAGCTTGGTTCCACTGCCCGTCTTCTAGAGTAAGGTTAAGTACTTTCGTAAAAATCTGCCTCAGAATACTGTCATATTCGTGCAGTATAGGGTTATCATATGAAGGTGCACATTTTAGGAAATATGTCAACCTGGGCAGACTCAAGCACTTTGTGAGAAGGTACAAGGCATCGTGGGTGTCCAGATTGCCTATTCGTTGTTCCATTCTCCTTAACTCTTCCAATTTCTTCCTGAGAATTGTGTCAATGGCATTGCTTCCCAGAGGTGCTCCTAGCAAGACACTATTTGTGGGGGCAATGACTGCTGCTCCTGGAAGTTTTGATCTCACTGCATTTATCACTTGCTGACTGACTGAGATGATTTCACATTTGGATGGATTCAGGACGAGACCCATAATAGTGTATATACCCGTCTTGTGGGTAGTCCTGCCACATCCATCTTGTGGGTAACAGTTTTCCAATGCAGTAGTCACCTCTGATCCATCCTCTAGTCATCCGACTAGACAAAACATGATGCTCAATGACGACAAATTTGAGTTGCTTCACTATGGAGAAATTGAAGAAACACACTTTTATTACAAGTAAACTACATTACCTTTGTAGAGCATAAAATTAATAAAAAACTGAATCCAAATTTGAACTTGGTATCTCAGCCGATCAGTATGAATGAGTCACATAAGTTATTGTATAAGAAATCTCATAAAGTTTTGCGCACCATGTCATATCGGACCCTCAAGGGAGGTTCCGTGATGCTGATGAGGGGCTCTTGATCTAGGGAATTGGATCTGTGTTCCAGTTCCCTGAGTTAAGCCTGAATGCCTTCCATCCCCCCCAACAGAAGCTGTATAATTCCTACTGATTTAGCGCTTCCCCATGATAATAATAATCCAGAGGTCAATGACTCCGTGGCCCAGTCCTTGACCAAGCCTCTCGGTGGATCAGGGCTTAATCAACCAGGCTGTTACTGCTGGCTGCACGTAGTCCAATATACGAACCGCTCACAACACTACTGGGATCTTTTCCGAAAACTTTTATCTTACCACTTACAAAGACTTTCACTCTTCAATAATAATAACAATCAAGTGAAAGCTTGGGAAAGTGAATACTGCCTCTCACACTATTACAATTCATTGATTATAGTTAAATATTTATTCACAATACACATATAACCCGCACATAGGAGAAAAAAAAACTTTTGACGACGTTTCGGTCCGACCTGAACCATTAACAAGTCACACAGAAGAGCGAAGGGAAAGGAGCCAGTATTTAAACGAGAAGGGAGGGGATGGGAGACAGGAGGTAGAAGGTATAAAATGGGGATTTTAATATAGGGTTGCTGAGAAAGATTTAATACTGTAAGATATCTGAGATGGAATATACCGAGTTACTTAAATATTTGACACGCGGAGAATGCAGTAAGCTGAATCAAATTCATACTTACTGACAATATAAAAGGGAGTCCCTGCTTCTACACACAGCTAATACACATCACTCGACAGTGCTCCTACTAATAGGAACCTCGCACCAGCTGAAGCACTGCGGCACCCTGCCTTCCAGCCTGGCTGCTAGTCCACAAGTTCTTATGTTAAAGGAGTGGACAGGTAATCCAGCGGAACACCTCGGTCAGATGACCAAAAGGTCCAGCTGCCCGGGTCATCATATGACTAAGACCAGCATCAGGAAACACTTGTCCTGTTTCTTATCAAACCTTAGCTAACCTACTTCCCGATGTCTCATGGGAAACCACGTCCTAGCTCACAGAGACGAGAATGTCGTCCAACACACGGGACGCCAAAGATTAAAACTCCTATCTTATTTCTCAGAGACAAAAATGAAGTCAAGGATTCTGCCTCACATTATCACAGTTGAAAGAAAAATGAGAATCTAGATAACTAGAATTTTCAAAACACGAGATGCCAAGGTAATGATGGTACTAACCAAACCACGGTACGGGGTGGGGTTTGAACTTGCGGATAGTGTGTCACTACGGTTTCGTGAGTCAAAATGAAGGTACTCCTCGAGGCACTTGTTCTGTCCAGGGATTAATAATGCTTCACAACAGCGCCATTCTTTAAGGTAGGTAACATTGCAGAGCTAATTTAGATTATAGAGAAAAATCTTCACTGCATTGAAATACCGTTTGCGTGCAGCCAGAAGTAACAGTCTGGTTGATCATACCCTGATACACCATGAGGCCTGCTCTCAAATCGGGCTGCGGGGGCGTTGACCCCCGAAAGCCTCTCCAGGTAAACTTTTACACCACTTAAAACAAAGGAATATTTTATCGAGATTTAATTTACAATTTACTACTACAACTACAACTATTACTACTCCTATTATTATTAATACAATTGTAACTACCACTACTTCTATGCTACATGACTCTTACGTGTTTGACAATTTCCCCGTGAAAATAAAAATACTAAAGTGAAAAAAAGAAGAGATGTTGAGAAAAAAACTTATTGCGATACATTGTCGCTGAGGGTAGCGCTTTATTAAGTCAATAATACATCTAATTGAATGTTTCTCTTCGCAGTGTAAGGTAGTGGGAGTGCTGGCAGCTGTAACTGTGCTCTATCTTCTCTATGCTGACTTGGCGACTTCTTCCTCGAACCCAAAACGTATTATTAATTATGGAAATACTCTAAGTTCAACGGAAACTGGTAAGATAAATATATGTATATATATATATATATATATATATATATATATATATATATATATATATATATAATATATATATATATATATTAGATGCAATAAGATCACAGTAAACAGGTGATATCATATTATGGATAATAACCAATGACAAAAATAGTGAATTTCCAAGTGCTTTCGTGTTTTCTTACATTATCAAGGACAGTAGAAGGTTTATAAGGCTGAGGTATCACGTGTGACCTGGCTGAGTTATCACATGTGACCTGACACCTGACTGAGTACGCTGACCGTAGATGTAGTGAAAAATTTTGTCAAGTCATATGTCAAGTAAAATTTATGAGTGACATGTGAGGCATAGCACACAAATTCTATTATTTATAAATGAATCTAATTTATATAACCCTGAACTAATATTCATGTTAAAATCAATACTGTTTTTTATGAAACTTGATTCAATTATACTTCTCTCATCCATGGACCTGCTTAATACAACTTTATCGGCCTTTTGAAAATCAACTGGGTGGTTAAAAATCTCAATAGAATAAACAAGGCATTAAACTCTTGTCTAGTTTAAATGCTATATTTATGTTGTAATCTTCAAGGCCTTCTCCAGTTTGACCGTAATAACTTCATTGCATTTTTTACACGGAATCTCATAGACATCCATCAGCATTTTGGGGAGAATTCTTAATCAAATTATTTTTTTTACTGTATCAAGATTTTTAAATACAACTTTGATTTTAAAATTTCGTCCAGGGAATGGAGAGAGGCACTCGGGTTCAAACATAGCAGAGGAGGAGGCGACTATCACTCAGTCCCTGCTGCCGGGGGATTCTGATTTTCCCTACGAAGAACTGAGTATGGTCAGTGCTAGCACCACGTCACCCTGGGACCTGTTCCGGGAAGTCAACACCAGAACTGACAATCACAACACTGATGATACTCCGCTGAAGAAGATTTTGTACTGGAATTTCGTGAGTAGGCTTTGTTTATATATATATATATATATATATATATATATATATATATATATATATTATATATATATATATATATATATATATATATATATATATATATATATATATATATATGTCGTGCCGAATAGGCAGAACTTGCGATCTTGGCTTAAATAGCAACGCTCATCTTGCCATATAGGACAAGCGAAAATTTGTGTATGTAATAATTTCGCCAAAATTATTCTGAACCTGACGAAAAAAATATATTTCACTGTGTTTGTTTAGTATTAAATTATTGTAAACAAATCTAAAATATATTTAGTTGGGTTAGGCTAAAATAAATTGTTCTTGTTATAATAAGGTTAGGTAAGTTTTCTAAGTTCCTTTTGGTGCAAAATTATGAATTTTTACCTCAACATTAATGAAAAAATATATCTTTAACGTATAAGAGAAAATTTTGGAAAGGACTTAATTTTAAATGAGTTCTTGCTAATTGACCAGTTTTACATATTCGGCACGACATATATATATATATATATATATATATATATATATATATATATATATATATATATATATATATATATATATATATAGTATATATATATATATATATATATATATATATATATATATATATATATATATATATATATATATATATATATATATATATATATATATATATATATATATATATATATATATATATATATATATATATATATATATATATATATATATATATTCCTTTCTTTTGGAAACAGCTTTAGCATCACATCCTTTCAGAGGCTTTCAGTCTAAGAAACTGGAACTACCCTCCACTTCCTCGGATCAAACTTGATGATCTCTCATTTCACATTGAGATCAGTGCTTCCAGTCACAAATATAATAACAAATTATATGTATTTCGTTCTCCGCGTGATCCTCAAACAACAATATCCCTGCATAACTCCAGCCAACTGAACCTCAATACACGCTATAGAAATGTTGCAGAATGCGGCATAAATTTCTAATACAATTGAAAACTGTACTAACTATTGCATATAAACATTCTTCAGTTACCACAGAATCCGCTGATTCCATTTTTAAAACTTTTAGTGGCCCGGTGGCCTGGTGGCTAAAGCTCCCGCTTCACACACGGAGGGCCCGGGTTCGATTCCCGGCGGGTGGAAACATTTCGACACGTTTCCTTACACCTGTTGTCCTGTTCACCTAACAGCAAATAGGTACCTGGGTGTTAGTCGACTGGTGTGGGTCGCATCCTGGGGGACAAGATTAAGGACCCCAATGGAAATAAGTTAGACAGTCCTCGATGACGCACTGACTTTCTTGGGTTATCCTGGGTGGCTAATCCTCCGGGGTTAAAAATCCGAACGAAATCTCTCTCTTATGAGAAATTAGCACTCACGCAAAATAAACGGTGAAAAGTGACATACTCAAGTATATTAAACATAACTGAACGGGGAAAAAAAGTTCTTACTAATTTTGAACATAAAACTGACAGATGTGACCATCAGTTTCACTCTCCGCCTTCTTCGACTTAGGACAGAAGTTTTCTGAAAGTTTGAAGCCAAGCAGAAGAGGCTTTTGAATGTTAGTGGACCTATTCCAGGAAACTTGGAATGGTTTCTACAACATCGGTGATATGGCACCTGCATATGTCATTAGTTGGAGGGATGTTTTCCTCTGTACAGTGAACCAGCACTGAAAAGTTCAAGATGGGATGAGACGTTTTGAAGCTTTGAACAAAAGCTTAGAGAAAGGAAAAAAAAATCCTGCCACTTAAAGATACCTCTTGGAGTATATATAATCATGTTCCTGAACTTCATGAGGACGTTAGTTGGTTGGATAATTGGGTTTAAAGCCTGTTAACTACACAACGATCATTAAGGCAGCGTGTAACCTCTTCACTAATCAAAAATACTTTAATCCATGAAATAGAAATTAAAATAAACTCAGACATACAGCTTTGGGTATGCATATATAAAGTTAGTGTTGCTGTAGTTCGTCAGGAGACAGTACAAGCGTCTCCTGACACGGGTCGTAATCACATAGATGACCCACTGGTGTATCTTGTTCCTCCGTTTTAATGTGTAATTAATGAACAGTTGTGTACTTACAGGGTTACAATGAAAATCACTACTCTTTTGGTTATGGCCGGGAGCCGTTCCTGCGTGCTGGGTGTCGTGTCAACACCTGCATGACCACTGGTAACAGATCCAAGTTTCCCCTCACGGAAATAGATGCCGTCATGTGGAACTTCAGATCCAGTGACCGTTCTCTTCCCAACCTACGGTAGGAATTCTTTTATAAATTTCAGAGATATGCTCGAGAAAACAGTTTCTTATTTATAAAGTAGTTGTTTGTTCATCAAGAAACTAGACTAGTTTCTCCTGACGAGGATCTTGTGTCAGACGATGACCCGTTCAGTGATCGAGACAACAGGCTTATCTGTACAGTGATTCAACAACCGTGGAATAAGAGGCAGTCAGGACTGACTCAAGGAAGAGGAGTGACAGCTCCAATACCTTGAATCAAGAGCCACTCATCCCATAAAAACTGGCTACAAATACATTTAGATGTTATATGACTTGTGGAGCTTTAGGACTTATATTTAACAATAATAAGTTAATTTCCACTAAAATATCAGTGCTTGTGCATCAAAAAGTGGGACTTTCAGCGAGGTGGCCAGTAAATGTGAGTGTGTTGGTGTGGTGTAGATGGTGGAAGTGAATCTAGATTTGACTGATTACGACTCTTTCTTGGATTGCTTCCGAACACATCCTCTCAAATATAAGCCTTAGTAGTTTCTCCGCCTTGAGATAAGCCCTGGATTCCTCACACCATTATCCTCATCAATTGAATGTTGATTCGATTGAATTTTAATTTATACAGAACTCGGATTTAGCCTCTGTATAGCAAGTTACTTGGTAAATTTACCCTTTAATCGTTAAAAAAGTGACAAATTTATAGAGGTCTTATTGAAAAGTTACCACCCTAATTTGTGTTGGGTGACGCCAGTCCTCCTGTTAAGAGGATTCTTGCTGAGTTATGATGGATAGCAGTGACACAAAATTCGTAAGTCTGTTACAGTATATTGGCGGAACAAAGTGGAACCTATCCTTCATCACGTCTGCCTCTTAGTCTGGCCTCTTAGAACTGTCGCTGGGCGGCCTAGCTCTGTTGGTAAAAGAGAAGTCACGTGATATATATTAACTGTCAGAGTGACCCAATATAGATGAGCCTAGAGAGTAAAGTCTGTAGTACATATTATTGACACGTTTAAAACATCAGGGCAATCTTGCCCTAATTGCCACCAGAGATGTTCATAAAGCTTTTGATAGTTTATGGCATGATGGTCTTATATACAAACTTATTGACCTACCAGACCTTAACTGGACCTTTCTCAAATTAATATATAACTTCTTAACTCAAAGAAAAATCATTCCCACCTTTCACGTCAGGTCGACAGAGCCTTTTATTCCGATAGCTGGTGTCCCACAAGGTCCAATTCTATTCAACATTTATGTAAATGATCTTCCTCAACCAGAGTTTAATGATACAATTATAACGCAATTTGCAGATGATGTTATCCATGTCGTCTCATCAACTCCGGTAACAGGAAAATACAAGTATGAGAGAGTCATAGAAAAAATGGATATTGAACTTCGTCGAACATCTAATTGGGAAAAGAAATGGAGAATTACGACTAACCCTGACAAAGTCCTTGTTAGCACAATAGGATGTTTTGCATCAACCATCGAAGATAAAGGGGGTATCTCCATAAGAGGTACACCTGTAGCCTTTAGAAATCCTAACAAGATATTGGGATATGAAATAGACAGGTTGCTCCACTCAACATCTCATGTAAATAAAAAGATCAACATAGCCAAAGCCGGTCTTAACAGTCTCTTTAGATTTATTTATCAAGCCCCTCCACATGTCAAGAAATATCTGTATAAAATGATAATAAGACCTATAGACCGGCCGCGGGGGCGTTGACCCCCGGAACTCTCTCCAGGTATACTCGAATACCCATGTGTCCCAATGTCATTAACAACAAAGATCAACGTGCTACGGTTGCAACGGGTCCAGAATAGAGCTCTTCGCTTCATTACGGGCACCAGGAGGAGAGACAGAGTTAAAATGGCAGATTTACACGTACAACAAGATATTACTACCTTAAATGTACGCCTTGACACCCTGAAGGAGAAACAACTCTATGCAATGCAAGAACTCTACATGCCAGACAGAGAACATCCTCTCCAAGTTGAAAATACCACTGACTATATCATTCATACTCCTCCTCACAGGACCCAAAGAATGACTATTCCACAGAGGGTGCGTCGTTTCATCCATGAAGACGATTACCATCGACCAATGATCCTGAACAACCTCCCTGCAGATGAAGATGATTGGGTAACACCAGAACCCTTCTATGTATACTAAGAAAATCATAGCCCCCAGTTAGGGAGATATCTTGTATAGCATTCTACTGTTAAAATTATGCTACATTTACTATGGCGGGACACCACCTTGTAGGAAGCTAACGTGTCAAGTAATTCTTTACGAATTGTCTAGACAATTATCGCCTTCATTGTCGTTTAAATATTCGTTGTGCAATCGCAAAAAAAAAGCAACTTGTATAATTACTACCAATTCAGAGTCATGTACTTATATATTTGTTATATCTATGTGACTCTGATGGGTTAGTATTATACCCCTTCAAGAATATTTTATTATTCCACATACACTTTTTAAATTGCCCCAAAGTGGTTGGGCCACTTACCTTTCATATCCTACCTCTCTCCCCCTTCCCATCCTTCTCCAATATTTCTATCCTTACCCATCCTTCTTCCTTACCCATCTTGCCAAAGACTCTGGTCATAAGAAGAAGATTACTGACACTGCCACTGGCTATAAGGTGATGGAGGTCGTGCTGTAACTGATATCATCGGGGTAAAAATTATCAAGCAGTGTTTTAGTGGACGATAATGACGGTTACTGAGCTACCCTAACGACTTTAATAACTAAATGAAATTATCATTAGCAAAAGATTGAGTTCTAACCATCTTAAACACAACAGAGACAGTGTAAGAAGCACATAGTGAAGCTAGGCTGTTCTCACTTCCCGGGGTTTCCCAGGGTCCTTCCTGTGTCCCCTCGGTGTTCCAGACGGCTCACGCTATTTGATTTTCACACAGTTTAGCTTCATAGCTGTTTTAACTTTTAAGGTTTAAATAATAAGATGTTACAAGAAAATAAGTCACTTTGACTTTTTTGGGGATATCCTGGTGGGTAATTTACGCAAATGTTGCTATGTATGATAATTTACGTAATTAACTGTATTTATGTTTGCCTGTACCTAAATAAGCTTACACCTGAACTGCCACTCTGGAAGAGTATTCACCACATTAAGGAGAAATCAGGGAACGGGGTGGGATTTGAACCTATGGCAAGCAAGCCCTAAAACTCACAGGCCAGTGCGTTAACTACTGGGCCAGCTAGATCAAACAAGATTCATCCAACTAGGATGAATCTTACCATGGTTTCAAAACCTCACCCGTTCCCTGACTTGTTTCCCACCATAATATGATTTCCTGAGTCACATTAGGTACTTTTATTTATAATATTTATCACCTCAGTAGGTGTGAAGGTCTATACTCATGGGATTCAATTAATGAGGACAAGTAGAGGAAAGAATATTATTATAATCATGCGGAGCGCTATGCCCGCAGGGATTATACAGCGTCTAAAGGAGAGGGGAGGGGGGGATGGATGGTATTCAGGCTTAATTCAGGGAACTGGAACACAGATCCAATTCCCTAGATCAAGAGCCCCTCACCAGTGTCAAGGAACCACCCTTGGGGGGAGTGGAAAGAATAGACTGACAAGGGGAAGATAGTTGATCAATTATACACCAAAAGATTATTAATGTAGTATTAGCAATATAGGAGAAATAAATAAAATAATATAAAATTAGTACATCTGCAACTTACCCACAGAGCTACTGTCAGCATAGTTGCTGATTCCCTTACATGTGTTGTATAGCTTAGTTGTACCATAGTACCATCCATGTGTTATATAGAAGATCCCTGTGAGGCCTTGTGACTGTATGGCATCACAGGGTACAGCATGAGTGAGTGAGACGCTCTGCCTCTCTCTCACTCCATGGATAGACATACAAGCAGGCAGAGCAAGGCAGGCCTGGGCTCCCACCTCATACCACAGTCTGACAATACATAGCGTTACCATCCAACCAGTGTGTTTGTCTTCACCATCATATCTCCTTCCGAACCCCCACGACACTACAAGATGTTTAGCAACTGACTGGTCAGTAATAGATATATCAGTAATGGTTATAATCATAACCATGATTTTTAAAGTGGTGAATCATAAGCCAGCAGAAGTCCTCGGTCAGATTACCTAAAGCTCCAGCTGGGGGTCATCATATGTCTGAGACCCACGTCAGGAAACACTTGTTCTGTTTCCTCACCAACATTATACCTACCGTAATATGCCTATAACTACTTAAGCACCCGAAATAACTAGAGGTTACCAGTAGTCCCTTGAAGGAACCTTAATAAAATAGTCGCACTGAAATTTTTCCTTTCAGGATTAAAACAGACAGACTATGTTAAATCTTGAAACATTTCTCTATTTCTTGACCTGGGTTTGAATTCTTTCCTCTAGCGCTGACACGTTAACTTGTCTTGTACAAGTAAGGCATGTAAGGATAATTCATCGTTCTTACTAGTGAATAATTGGAATATTCTATCACTTGTGACAAATGGCTTTTTTCCAATACTGTCCACAATTTCTTGCTTCTTAACGTGAACCAACTGTTGGTGAACTGATGTTATCTGATGAGTGTCTTGGTACTAGTGTAATAATATGTAATGGTTATATATATATAAAATAATTCTGGAAATGCCTGACTAAACTTGTGTTGGTGTGCAGGTCTCGACACACACGCTATGTCTTCTTTATGATGGAACCAGCCTCTGTCCTGCACACAAAAATTGAGCCTTTCAATAATGTCTTCAACTGGACGATGACCTACAGACTTGACTCAGATTTACCTAAAACGTATGTTGCTTTGGTAATAAATTTTGAGATATGTGGAAAAGATTTTAATGCTGCGATATGTATAATGTATAAATGAATCTTAGTTTATTTACAAAACGGTTACGGTGACTGAAATAAAATTGCAGAGACATGTAACGATTTAAATGTGTTGCAGTCTGACAAATCATTAAATATTACATAATATATAATATTTATGTTTGTCCACACCACTTATTGTAAATTCCACAGTTCCCCTTCACAGTACCAGTCTTACTGAGTACTTCACAACACAAAGCTATACACAACTACAAGTATCTATGACTTTGCATAAAGGTTAACCATCACTATGTCATCGGCAGGTATGGTCATGTATATAGACGCAGAAAGCCCCTGGAACCAAGCAACCGGAACTATGCTGAAGGGAAAACTAAGTTCGCTGCGTGGTTTGTCTCTCACTGCGACACCACCAGCGGCAGGAAAAAGTATGCTTGAATTATTTTTATTAGTTATCCCAGAAGGGATACCATATAACAGTTGACTGAAGTTCTTACTTCAATTTTTCAGTTATGTTGTGAACGCCTCATCCATCATCTTCAATTTTTCAATGCTGGTAATATAGATCACTCGCAATTTTGACTTCCATGCGATAACTTGAGGCAGGTTTCAACACTAGTGCATCCTACTGAGAAGAGTAGATTTTTTTGAGTGCCAATTTGTCAATATTATTTTAAAAATGGTGAGATATTTTTCCCGTGCAATAGCTTGCGTGGAGAATTTTTTTTGTCCAACTCCAGGAGGATGGACGCTCCCTGAGGACATGGACACCCCCTGGGGCCGCGACCCTTCGAGTGTGCTAAGATCCCTCTCTACTTTCCCACACTCTGAGGATGAAATGGGTCATGACCTGTATCCTTTGCACCACCAAAGATCAATTAGAGCATTCCAGAATGCCCATTCCTTTTAACACGTGTGTCTGATCCAGCAAAATCAGACAACCTCTCATGGGATTACTGATTCATAACTGATAAAAGTGATACACAAGAGAGACACGTGTACAACACAAATTACAATCTACGGGAGTGTAAATGAACTGACGTTTGTCTGAGAAAATGGTGGTTTCTCAAGACGGGAAAAATCAGAGAATATACGCTTGGGTACTTTAGAAACACCCAGGGTTTTAATAACTTACAACTCACATCTCAGACTGAAGGAATCAGCCTCTTCTGGTTGTGAAAGGTTGAGAGAGCTGGCACCTAGCATCTGTAAACCATAGGTCAGCAGATATCCGTCCATAAGAGGGCGGGAAGTAGCAACTGCACTTTTCCTATTCTTTCTTTTGCACTCCTTATTGTTATAATGTCTTTAAGCAATTACCACCTGTGCTTTCTCATTCTTATATATCTCAAACTCATCTTAAACAACCACTGCCGGGGAGGGGCGTCCTCTGTGCAGTTCAATAAAGCGGCTTTGCTTAGTGTCGTTTGGGACCACCACAAGTCCACTAAATGCCCACAAATATGCCCTATATAATGCCTTACAATGCCATGCGGTTGGGTCTAGCCCCGACTCTTTCCCTTCTACATTCTTTTCTTCTCCCCCATCTATTCTTAAACTATCCCCACTTTCCCCTCGCCCCTAGTGGATTCTTACCTGTGAGTCCCTTCTATTCTATTCTAATTGCTTTGATTCTTGATTCGTGATTCGAGACTGCAATTCGACGAGTGAACGTGTGACGAGAGGCCGGGTGACGAGCTGGCTGGGGTACTCTGCCTGGTCACCTAACGTAAAAATATTCGTGGCCAATTCGTGTGCGCGTTTTCCGTGTCGTGCATTGACATTCTTCCTGGTGTGAATAGATACGAACATGTCAACGAGTGTAGCAAGTACCACGGGAGTACTGTTCCCATGTAGCTCACTCACGTTAGCCATCAGGCGACGTGTGCCAGACGGCGGAGTGGAGACGTCCAACGTCATCTCAATCAATCATCAATCAATCAAGTTTATTCTCTATAAAGATTACAATGCGGGGTTTACAGATTTTGGATATTGTGTGGTTTACATGTTTTAAAATACTAATTATAGAGGGGGCCATTAGGACACCTAGCATGGCTAGGCATTTCGGGCAGACTTAGATTAATTCTAAACTTTAAATTATTACAGATTATGGTATTAAGGCTAAGTGACTACATTATAGTTTGTAAGTTTAGCAATGTGAATGCTTTTGTTTTGGCACAATACATAGTGTCTATATTGGAGAATCATAGGCAAACTTATGACTAGTTAGGATTCATTATTTTAAGATTAAGATTCGTATTTCTGTGTTTATAGTCAATGGGTGAGTGAGTGTAAGTGTGAACCACCAGGTGGTTTACATGTAGTTAGTTGTCGGGGTGTATCAGGGAGATAAGATGTTTTCTAACTGTAGTTTTTGAAAGTGATGAATGTGTCTGAAGTTCTAGAGTTCTCAGGTAGGTGTTCCAGATTTCAGGCCCTTTGACACATTGAATTTTTGTAAAGGTTTATTCGGACACGGGGAATGTCATAGAGATGTTTGTGTCTGGTGTTATGCTTGTGGGTCCTGTCACGACTATCAAGAAAACATTTTAGGTCAAGGTTAATAATGGAATTTAAGGTCCTGTAGATGTAGATTGCACAGTAGTAAGTGAGGATGTTCTGAACAGGGAGTAAGTTTAGATCTATGAAGAGTGGGGGTGTGTGTTGCCAGGGATGGGATTTAGTGATTATTCTTACTGCGGCTTTTTGTTGGGTTATTATTGGCTTTAGATGTGTTGCTGCAGTTGATCCCTTCAATCAAGCCAACGATTTCGGTCTCAGTGACGTCAAGACGTCACAGGCTCCCGTTACAATGAGCCAGGTAAGTTCCATTTTACTTACATCTCTCAATCTAGTGATGCAGTACCTAGGGTCGATGTCGAGTGAATAGGACGAACCATGTAAAGGTCGTAAGGAGCGGGCCAAGCCCAAAACTACAGGTAATGCCCGCCCACGATATCCTGGTGCTATACCAGAAATACCTGAGGTATATATATCTTCAAGATAGGTATTAAAACCTGGTGGGTCTTCAGACAGCGAATTACGAAGGGCGAAACACTTGGGGAAGCTGTGAGTGGTTTCGAGCTGTCATCAACAAAGATGAGTATTAATCCACTTAGTGGTTCCTTAATTATAATAATTTTCTATTTCTCATCTTACCCAAAATCCCACACAGCTTGACTGTCCCATTTGAACGACTCCGGTCATTAAAAACTGATGATACCCTTTACGGTTACGCTGTGTTGGTACAAATTTACTAAAAAACTGAATAGTTAAAATCACGGAAATATTGGAATCCATGAGATTGCTGTAGAATACTATTTAGCAATTGGATAATGCCTCCTCTGATCGGCTTCAAACCTTTAACACTGGTGTATTTTATGACGATATCTTACATGTTAGGCTGCCTAGGTGCAAATATGCCGATATAATAACATCGCTAAAAATATATGTAATTGTTAGATTCCGTGTGATTTCTGGAAGGTGTTTCTCAGTTTTTTTGAAAACTCAATGGGAAGGTTAAAACAACTCGCATGAAGAAACAGATCATGGTATTCTTGCCCAATGTTAATGATGGATTTATGATGCTATAATCTTAGTTCCAGTCTCTTCAGTTTTCCCAAAATAAATGTATTATATTTTGTACACTGAATCTTGTAGTCACTGCTATAGTTATCAGCATTTTTGGGGAGAATCCTTAATCAGATAATAATAATAATACATGTTAAATTATTAAATGTTTCTTGCCGAATAGGTAAAACTTGCGATTTTCAATCAATCAATCAATCAAGTTTATTCTCTATAAGGATTACAATGCGGGGTTTACAGATTTTGGATATTGTGTGGTTTACATGTTTTAAAATACTAATTATAGAGGGGGCCACTAGGACACCTAGCATGGCTAGGCATTTCGGGCAGACTTAGATTAATTATAAACTTTAAATTATTACAGATTATGGTATTAAGGCTAAGTGACTACATTATAGTTTGTAAGTTTAGCAATGTGAATGCTTTTGTTTTGGCACAATACATAGTGTCTATATTGGAGTATCATAGGCAAACTTATGACTAGTTAGGATTCATTATTTTAAGATTAAGATTCGTATTTCTGTGTTTATAGTCAATGGGTGAGTGAGTGTAAGTGTGAACCACCAGGTGGTTTACATGTAGTTAGTTGTCGGGGTGTATCAGGGAGATAAGATGTTTTCTAACTGTAGTTTTGAAAGAGATGAATGTGTCTGAAGTTCTAGAGTTTTCAGGTAGGTGTTCCAGATTTTGGGCCCTTTGACACACATTGAATTTTTGTAAAGGTTTAGTCGGACACGGGGAATGTCATAGAGTTGTTTGTGTCTGGTTTTATGCTTGTGGGTCCTGTCACAACTATCAAGAAAGCGTTTTAGGTCAAGGTTAATATTGGAATTTAAGGTCCTGTAGATGTAGATTGCACAGTAGTAAGTGTGGATGTTCTGAACAGGGAGTAAGTTTAGATCTATGAAGAGTGGGGGTGTGTTGCCAGGGATGGGATTTAGTGATTCTTACTGCGGCTTTTTGTTGGGTTATTATTGGCTTTAGATGTGTTGCTGCAGTTGATCCCCAAGCACAAATAGCATAGGTGAGGTATGGATAAATGAGTGAATGGTATAGTGTGAGAAGGGCAGTTTGCGGCACGTAATATCGTATCTTGGAGAGGATCCCACCGTTTTGGAAACTTTTTTTGTTATGTGTTGGATATGGATGCTGAAATTTAGGTTGTTGTCGAGGTATAGACCTAGGAATTTGCCCTCATTATGTCTGGCAATTAGAGTGTTGTCGATCTTAATGTTAAGTTGTGCAACACCTGCTCTGCTACCAAACATAATGTAGTAGGTTTTGTCAGTGTTCAGTGTAAGTTTATTGGCTGTCATCCAAGTCAGAATTTTGAGCAGCTCCTCGTTGACAATGGTGTTGAGGGTGGCAAGATTAGCGTGGGAGATGACGTTAGTCGTGTCGTCAGCAAAGAGAATGGGTTTCAGGTGTTGGGAAACGTTTGGAAGATCATTAATGTAAATGAGGAAGAGGAGGGGACCAAGGACACTTCCCTGCGGAACTCCAGTATCAAGTGGCCGTGTTGATGAGGCTGTGTCTTTAATGGTGACATACTGATACCTATTAGTAAGGTTAGATTTGAAATATGCAAGCGCATGGCCTCTTATACCATAATGGTCAAATTTGTGGAGTAGGATGCCGTGGTCTGTGTCAAACGCTTTTCTTAGGTCAATAAAAATTCCTAGCGGATATTCCTTATTTTCATTTTAGGTTAAACAGCAACGCTCTTCTTGCCGAATAAGGCAAGCAACAACTTGTGTATGCAATAATTTCGCAAAAAATCATTCTGATCCTAACGAAAAAAAAATATATTTGTATTTGTTTATTATTAAATTATTGTAAGCTTACCTAAAATATATTTAATTGGATTAGGCTAAATCAAATTGTGCTTTATATAATAAGGTTAGGTAAGTTTTCTAAGGTTCGTTTGGTGCAAAATTATTAATTTTTACATTAACATAAATGAAAAAATAAATCTTTAAATGTATATATATACTTTACATATATATATATATATATATATATATATATATATATATATATATATATATATATATATATATATATATATATATATATATATATATATATATATATGTCGTGCCGTATATGTAAAACTGGTCAATTAGCAAGAACTCATTTAAAATTAAGTCCTTTCTAAAATTTTCTCTTATACGTTTAAAGATATATTTTTTCATTAATGTTAATGTAAACAAATTTAATTTTGCTCCAAAAGTATCTTAGAAAACTTACCTAACCTTATTATAACAAGAACAATGTATTTTAGCTTAACCCAACTAAATATATTTTAGATTTGTTTACAATAATTTAATACTAAACAAACACAGTGAAATATATTTTTTTCGTTAGGTTCAGAATGATTTTGGCGAAATTATTGCATTCACAAATTTTCACTTGTCCTATATGGCAAGATGAGCGTTGCTATTTAAGCCAAGATCGCAAGTTCTGCCTATTCGGCACGACATATATATATATATATATATATATATATATATATATATATATATATATATATATATATATATATATATATATATATATATATATATGTGCAAAACAACCACTCTGAAAGAATAGAGAAATTCCAAGCGCTTTCATGACTACTCACATTATCAAGGAACTATGAAAGTAAAGCATCCAAGGAGGCTATATAAGGGGTCTGGCCAACACCTCACTATCAGATCCCACAACGGTTAAACACCTGACGCGCGCCGACCCAACTGGATAGGTCCTTTGCACAACTCACCCACAAACTATTCTACCCAAGAAAATTTAAAAATTATTATTTGTCCAGTGTATTATTAAATTCTTCCCAAATTCTATTAATTATAAATGGATCTAATTTATATAAACCAAAGGAAATATTCATATTATTGTCAAAACTGCTTTTATTTTGTCTGCTTTAGTAAGGCGTAAATTTTTATTGTTATTAAGTGTATCATAAGACTTAAAGAATCTTTGAGGGCAATTGGGAATGTTTGGTTTTAACATAGAGTTATATACCATTCCTTTACTATCATGAATTATGAAAGAAAATGATTACCAAGAAAAAATGAATAATCTCTTAGATGATACTGAAACCTATTCTAAACTTAGGAAAAATCCCCTAGAAACCGTTAACAGCAATTTCATTAAAACAATAAAACTTCTACTGAAAGGCAAAGATGAATTAGTCAAACAATTTACTTCCACTAATCCATCTTTACCTTACATGTATGGACTAATAAAAACACACAAACCAGGGAATCCAGTCAGACCAATTATTAGCTCCATAGGGTCAGTTTCATATAAATTATCCAAATGGCTTGTTGATATTTTGAGCCCTATTGTTGGCAAAATTTATAACTTTAATGTTAAAAACAACATAGACTTGGTTGATAAATTAAGCTCCTTGACTGACTTAAATGATTTAACATGGTTAGTTTTGATGTTACTTCCTTGTTTACGAAAGTTCCTGTTGATGATTTATTAAGTTTCTTATCTGAAGAACTCGTTAACTATGATTTACCATTGCCAGTTCCTACTATCATTAAACTTATTAAACTTTGCATTGTTGAGGCAAAATTTGTATTTAATGATAAGTTTTACACTCAGAAGTTTGGTATGGCAATGGGGAATCCTCTTTCACCTGTTCTTAGTAACCTATACATGGAATTTTTTGAAACAAGGTTGCTTAATACAATCCTCCCTAATAGAGCCAAATGGTTCAGATATGTTGATTATATTTTGTGTCTTATGCCCAAAAATGTAGATATACACCATTTCCTTGGAAAATTAAATAGCTTAGCCCATTCTATAAACTTTACTGTTGAGTTTGAAGAAAATAACTCATTGCCTTTTCTAGATGTTTTAATTATTAAGGGTAATAATGAATTCAAATTTAAAATTTACAGAAAACCTACAAATAACTGTTCTTATGTCCACTATTATTCCTCGCATCAAGATAGAGTCAAACTGTCTGTTTTCTCATCAATGTTTTTGAGAGCTTTACGAATTTGTAGTCCTGAGTTCATAGATGAGGAAATATCCAAAATTTATGAAATAGGTAATGATTTAAAATACCCAAGAAATGTAATTGATAAATCTTTTAAATTTGCTAGAAATACTTTTTACAATCCAAAAAGGGACAACCAGCCTTATTCAACTAAAAATATGTTGGTTCTCCCTTACCATGAAAACTTGGTTGATATGATTTCTCTTCTTAAGACTTTTAATATTAAAGTTGTATTCAAAAATCTTGATACAGTAAAAAACTTTTGATAAAGAATTCTCCCCAAAATGCTGATGGATGTGTCTATAAGATTCCTTGTAAAATTTGCGATAAAGTTTATTATGGTCAAACTGGTAAAAATCTCGAACTAAGATTAAAACAACATAAATATAGTATTAGAACTGGACAAGATTCCAATGCTCTATTTATTCATGTAAGAGATTTTAACCATCCAATTGATTTTCAAAAAGTTGAGAAAGTAGTATCAAGCAAGTCCATGGTCGACAGGAATATAATTGAATCTTGTTTCATAAAAAGCAGTTTTGACAATAATATGAATATTTCCTTTGGTTTATATAAACTAGATCCATTTATAATTAATAGAATTTGGGAAGAATTTAATAATACACTGGACAAATAATAATTTTTAAATTTTCTTGGGTAGAATAGTTTGTGGGTGAGTTGTGTAAAGGACCTATCCAAGTTGGGTCGGCGCTCGTCAGGTGTTTAACCGTTGTGGGATCTGATAGTGAGGTGTTGGCCAGACCCCTTATATAGCTTCCTTGGATGCTTTACTTTCATAGTTCCTTGATAATGTGAGTAGTCACGAAAGCGCTTGGAATTTCTCTATTCTTTCAGAGTGGTTGTTTTGCATATTCTGAAATCACCTGTTTACTGTGATCTTATTGCATATATATATATATATATATATATATATATATATATATATATATATATATATATATATATATATATATATATATATATATATATATATATATATATAATATATATATATATATATATATATATATATATATATATATATATATATATATATATATATATTTATATATATATACACTATATATCATATATTACTGTACTCAAAGGTTGGTTAAGACACTGAGGAAATGGATCAAGGTGGACCAGTATGGACACTGTAGCAGTCTCAAGTGTGAACGTAAGGACGAGAAGAAGTGTTATGCTATGCTCGCCTCTGATTACAAGTTCTACTTCTCCTTCGAGAACTCACTCTGTCGAGATTACGTCACAGAGAAGCTTTTTAATATTTCAAGGTACTGGTTAAATCACTCAAAAGAAATGTTGTTCAGTGTATATTTAGAAGAGTTGTATATACTACGTTGTATACTTTTAATGTTTTAAGTAATCGAAAAGTTCTCGTTAATCCATCGACTTTGTGTTTCATCGACTTTGTGTTTCATCGACTTTGTGTTTCATCGACTTTGTGTTTCATCGACTTTGTATTTCATCGACTTTGTGTCTCATTGACTTTGTGTATCATCGACTTTGTGTTTCATCGACTTTGTGTTTCATCGACTTTGTATTTCATCGACTTTGTGTCTCATCGACTTTGTGTATCATCGACTTTGTGTTTCATCGACTTTCTGTATCATCAACTTTGTGTTTTATCGACTTTGTGTTTCATCGACTTTGTGTCTCATTGACTTTGTGTTTCATCGACTTTGTGTATTATCGACTTTGTGTATCATCGACTTTGTGTCTCATCGACTTTGTGTTTCATCGACTTTGTGTTTCAAAGTTTTCTTTCAAATATATTTCTTGCCATCAGGAATGTTTCATTCACTTTTCCTCCTATCAGAGTGTGAGTTATTTGTACTCATACTGACTCACGAAAACGTAATGACACGATTGCAAACAAACCATACCACGGGCGGGGATAGAATCCGCGATCACAGAGTCTCAAAACTCCAGACCGTCGCATTAGCCACTGGGCCAGCTAGCCACAATAAGATTCGTCCAACTAGGTATATTTCTACACCATAGGAAGGTTAGCACAGGCACCACTGTGACCACAAATGCAAGTTTTTGCAGACGAATCTCCAGCTAGCGTGGCCGTGACGAACTCTAGCTCAAGTCCCCTCAAAGCCGTTAACATGACTCACGAAATCTTGTGCAAGAAAGGTATAAAATACCGACAATATGAAAGTTAAGACACATGTGCAACATCTGGATATCTTTATTGTAGACGTTTCGCCATCCAGTGGCTTTATCAATACAGATTCTAGGACATAATAGGAAGACAGTAGAACTATATACAAAAGATGAGGTAATCAGTCCCTCGGCCTTGGAGTTAGTGTTCACAGCATCGTGGTGGAGGAGAATCTGGAGCAAAGACAAGAAGACTTGCACATGAAAGGTATTTTATACCTTTCTTGCACAACTTGTCAGACACTGCAACATCATGGAATCTTGGTTCAGAGGACATCTACAAGACCTTCTTCACGGATGCTGCAACTAACCCATCTCTTTGGGAAAGACCTACTTCCACTGGGGAATCCCGCCTACCAGTGACTTTGCCCTCGTCTGCTGCCCGTCCCTATCCACTGACGCCTATATAACCGCCAGTCTTCTTGTCTTTGCTCCAGATTCTCCTCCACCACGATGCTGTGAACACTAACTCCAAGGCCGAGGGACTGATTACCTCATCTTTTGTATATAGTTCTACTGTCTTCCTATTATGTCCTAGAATCTGTACTGATAAAGCCACTGGATGGCGAAACGTCTACAATAAAGATATCCAGATGTTGCACATGTGTCTTAACTTTCACGAAATCTTATTGTGGCTAGCTGGTCCAGTGGCTAACGCGACGGTCTGGAGTTTTGAGACTCTGATCGCGAGTTCTTTCCCCGCCCGTGGTAGGATTTATTTGCAATCGTGTCATTACGATTTCGTGAGTCATGTTAACGGCTTTGAGGGGACTTGAGCTAGAGTTCGTCACGGCCACGCTAGCTGGAGATTCGTCTGTAAAAACTTGCATTTGTGGTAACAGTGGTGCCTATGCTAACCTTCCTATGGTGTAGAAATATACCTAGTTGGACGAATCTTATTGTGGCTAGCTGGTCCAGTGGCTAACGCGACGGTCTGGAGTTTTGAGACTCTCTGATCGCGGGTTCTATCCCGCTCGTGGTATGCTTTCACTCATACTGTTGTACTCATTTCAGAAATCCTCTCACTCCTGATCATATAATAATAATCATAATTTTTAAAGGGGTGGACCGGTATGCCAGCGGAAGACCTTAGTCAGATGACCAAAAGCTCTAGTGACGAGTCATCATATGACTAAGATCCACGTCAAGAAACATTTGACCTGCTTCCTGACAAACATAATACCTACCTACCTCTCACTCATGCATAGTTACTTCTAGTTTTGCTTTTCATTTCTCTAGTCCCTCTTCTGTAATTTTTTCAGATCTTAGCGCAGTGAGTTCAGTAACTGCCAATAGTTTTCCGTAAGTGATTTTGCCTAATTTTCTGAAAATGAACAGATCCTAAAATGTTAGTTTATCTTTTGCTTTTACTGTCTTGCTTTACAGGTTTCCATTCCTCTTCAAGGCAAGTGAAATTAGTGACCTAGAAAATGTATAGAGAGCCTTCACGGCACACATAACTGCGATAAAACACCTCAATTACTGGGAATGCTTGAAGTTCCTGAACCTGTACTCCCTGGAACGCAGGCGGGAGAGATACATGATTATATACACTTGGAAAATCCCAGGGGGACTAGTACCAAACTTACACATGAAAATTACTCCCTATGAAAGCAAAAGACTCGGCAGGAGATGCAACATTCCCCCAATGAAAAACAGGGGTACCAATAGCACGATAAGAGACAACACAATAAGTGTCATGGGCTCAAGACTATTCAGTTGCCTCCCAGCATACATAAAGGGGATTACCAATAGACCCCTGACTGTCTTTATGAAGACACTGGACAAGCACCTAAAGTCAGTACCTGACCAACAGGGATGTGGGTAGTACGTCGGGTTGCGTTCGGCCAGCAGTAACAGCCTGGTTGATAAGGCCCTGATCCACCATGAGGCCTGGTCACAGGCCGGGCCGCGGGGGCGTTGACCCCCAAAACCCTCTCCAGGTATACTCCAGGTATTACACTTTGTCTACTTCTAACTGCTCTTCGACTTGCTCCTCATTCTTCCTTTGTTACCATAATTGATCCTTTTTATTCCACTTTCTCAAGAACGTCTAGTATGACTGTTATTATCCTTTTCCTCTTGCCTGGGTATCCTGTTGTTCTTAGGAAAGAAGTTATAGATTGTAGTAATTTTTACACTCGGTATTTGGTTATTTCTCTAACAGTGTAGTTATGTATTATATTTCATTCATATTCTAGTCACAAAGCTCGAAATTCCACACTTTCTTGATCAATGTGCAATTCCGTCATTTATTTTCTCTCCCCATTATGTGATATCCATCTAGGAATACTGTACTGCTTATTCACGAGCTTTGTCGTGTTGCTTCACTTTCCTTTAGTTCTATGAATTGTTTGTGTATCACATGCTGGTACTTGTGTTAGACACTTTGTGTTTTGACTCATGGTTCTCTTTTGATGTATAACAAATGTAATGTGGTAGTCAATATTTCAAACACTTCGGCAGGTTGGACGTGATTCCTGTGGTATATGGATCAGCTAACTACTCACAGCATGCGCCGCCACACTCTTATATTGACGCTCTCAGCTTCCCCACAGCCAAGGCGCTGGCAGACTACCTCATCTACCTCAACAATAATGACACTGCCTACAATGAATACTTCAGGCGAGTCCTACTAGCCTTTTTCAAACAATATAAAAAAAATTCAAGCAGGAACAGACTATTTGATTTGACCCTTTTGTATTAGACATCATTATTTTTCATACATCTTTTTTTCATAAATTACCAAGTCCTTCACAAAGTTTACAGCAAACCCTTTATTTACTACTACAGTTTCTCATCAGTACGGCGCTGAAATATTTGCAATAGTCATCTCCCCTGCCAACTTTTTTTTATTTTATTTAAAACAGTACGTTACACTGAATAAATAAAATAACACAGATCCTAATTCCTCCACAGTATTATAAAAAATTTAATTCCGTAATACACACCGGACGTACAACTTCGTGCAGGCCAACTCCTTACATGCTACGTCTTAATTTTTTTTTCTTCTTCTTGATTCGTCGGTATTCTCCCGGCCCGGGCCTTTTTCAAGTGGTGGCCCGGCCTTGGCTCCCTATCTGGGGAGTGTCTGAGACCTAAGTCTCCCATGGTAGGAGGTACAAGTACCCCCTCATCTTTGGGACCAAGTGTCCCCAGGCCTAGCCACAGTCCCCGCCCTCACGGGGCTCATAGGGAGAAGCTAGGCCTCTGGTCTGCCATCTGCCCCGCCCCAAAGGGGCTCGTGGGGATGACAGTCTTGTGAACTGTAGGTGGTAGCAAGCTCAGGCTATATATTTATATATTTTTTTTTTTTTATTCGCCAGTATTCTCCCGGCCCGGGTCTTTTCAAGTAGTGTTTTTTTTTTATTATTATTATTAAATATTCGCCGGTATTCTCCCGGCCCGGGCCTTTTCCAAGTGGTGGCCCGGCCTTGGCTCCCTCTTTAGGGAGTGTCTGAGACTTAAGTCTCCCATGGGAGGAGGCACAAGTACCTCCTCATCTTTGGGACCAACTGTCCCCAGGCCTAGCCACAAGCTAGGCCTCTCTGGTCTGCCATCCCCGCCCCAAGGGGGCAAATGGGAATGACAGTCTTATGAGCTAAAGGCTCGGGCTCAGGCACCTACCCTACCCTAGAAGGGTTAGGCATGGTGTCGATGTGTTTTTTTTTTTTTTTTTTTTTTTTTTTTTTTTTTTTTTTTTTTTATGCCAGATCCATTTTTCTCAAAGTACATACATTATTTAGCTTATGATAGGTTAATGTTAATTAAGTTATTTAGCTAACTTTTTCTAGGCTCCCGGGCACACGGAATTAAATAGTTTTAAATGTACTATAGAATATTATATGTTAATATTGTACTCAGCAGCTCAGCCACTTGTAATGTTTAAAAAATAATTCCTGTTTACCGATGTATTTGTGGGTCACCTGAGCATTAGGTAATTCCTTGCTTCCTATGGAAACTATTCATGTTGGACCAGGAAACGGGATGGAGGGTTGGTTACCTTTATGCTGGTGAAGCAGGGACGGATCTACTATGAAACTAATGAAGCTTAAGCTTGAGGGGCCCCAGAAGCAACTTTAGTAAAGTGTTGAAAAATTTGGGTCTACTGTATGAGAATGGGTTTTGTAAAAAAAATAATATGGTGTAATTCAGTACAAAATAAGTCAAAATAAAAATTAAAAGGTTATTAAAGTATGATGTAGGCTGCCGTTGTTGGTTGCGAAGGTGACCCCATAACAGTTCAAGTTTCAGGGGCCCCAAAAAATGTAGGTCCGCCACGGTGGTGAAGGGCACTTGATGCAAGAAATTGGAAGCTACCCTCCATTCCCCCAAATGTTGTATTACTCCTAAAGGTTCAACTCTTCCCATTCATACAGGAGCCAGTCTTCACCAGCACTGGAGGGTCTGCCAACATGGGGGTCTATAGGGAGTTAATTTAACGTGCCAGCTAGCCAGGAGTAACTACCAAGGAGTCTTAGCATGGGACAAATTCCATATCTCTAAACAGTCCACTCTGGCTCATGCATGAGGACGCTGATCCTCATGCATTTAATGACTTCTCTTGAACTATAACGATTTCATCATGTGATATGAATTTTGTCACACAGGGAACTCTTTATATACAATATTAAATAGTCATGGATTTCGAAAAAAATTAGGGCTCATGATTTTGTGCCATGATCAGATTATACATTCCCACGCAGACAGTTAAAATATTTTCGATGGTTCTTTTTCATTATGTAGCATAATAATAATAATAATAATAATAATAATAATAATAATAATAATAATAATAATAATAATAATAATAATAATAATAATAATAATAATAATAATAATATATGTGATCAGCTTATGGATGATCTGAGAAGAAATATTTGTTCTGCTACTACTAATAATAATATTGTTAATGTTGTTTAAGAATCTGAGAGTACATAGCGGAAGTCCTCGGTGAGATGGCCAAAAGTTCAAGCTGTGGGTCATCAAATGACAAAGACCCGCATCATGAAACACTTGTCCTGTTTCCTGACAAACATTATACCTACTTGAGAGTACATGTTTCTGTCCGCAGATGGAAGAGGTTTCACAGGATTCCAGGCTGGTCAACAAATGCCAAACCTTTCTGCGACTTGTGTGAGCGACTACACACAGACAATGACACTAAAGTATACAATCTGAAGAAATGGTTTGTCGATGACTCTCACTGCAAGTATAAGAGCAACCGGGATGTCTCCGCGTTCATTAATGGACATGGTCTTCACTGACAGAAGTTTTCCATTACTGACAATTTTCATTATCCTTGTGTTATTTACATGTTGGCTGGGCACCTTGGCAGCACTGACTAGGTCAGACATTGTAAACTTATAATACTAAGTATTTATTACAAATACAGTTTACACACTTGAATACTAATATAATGAAGGGAATGTACGGGAAGTATAGTGGTACCAACACACTTATATGGGTGTGAAGCATGGGTTGTAAATACTGCAGCGAGGAGGAGGCTGGAGGCAACGGAGATGTCGTGTCTAAGGGAAATGTGTGGAAATTAGGAGGAGGTGTGGAGTTACTAAAATTATTACTCAGAGGGCTGAGGGGTTGTTGAGCTGGTTTGGTCATTTAGAGAGGAAGGAACAAAGTAGAACGACTTGGAGAGTGTATAAATCTGTAGGGAAAGGAAGGCGGGGTAGGGGTCGTTCTACGAAAGGAAGTTTTGTGGGCGAAGGGCTTGGAATTCCAACAAGCGTGCATGAGCGTGTTAGGAGTGAATGGAGTCGAATGGTTTTTGGGCCCTGATGAGCTGTTGGAGCGTGAGCAGGGTAACATATTGTGAAGGGATTCAGGGAAACCGGTTTGCCAGACTTGAGTCCTGGAAGTGGGAAGTACAATGTCTGCACTTTAAATGACGGGTTTGTGATACTTACTGCCGTATCTGAGCGCCTCTGCAAATACACTGATTATGTATGAGTGAGGTGAAAGTGTTGAATGATGAAAGTTTTTATTTCTTTTTTTGGGGTTTTCTTTCCATTTGGGTCATATATATATATATATATATATATATATATATATATATATATATATATAATATATATATATATATATATATATATATATATATATATATATATATATATGTCGTGCCGAATATGTAAAACTGGTCAATTAGCAAAAACTCATTTAAAATTAAGTCTTTTCTAAAGTGTTCTCTTATACGTTCAAAGATATATTTTTTTCATTATTATTATTAAAGATTAGCCGGTATTCTCCCGGCCCGGGCCTTTTCCAAGTGGTGGCCCGGCCTTGGCTCCCTCTTTAGGGAGTGTCTGAGACCTAAGTCTCCCATGGGAGGAGGCACAAGTACCGCCTCATCTTTGGGACCAACTGTCCCCAGGCCTAGCCACAAGCTAGGCCTCTCTGGTCTGCCATCCCCGCCCCAAGGGGGCTAATGGGAATGACAGTCTTATGAGCTAAAGGCTCGGGCTCAGGCACCTACCCTACCCTAGAAGGGTTAGGCATGGTGTCGATCATTTTTTTCATTAATGGTAATGTAAAAATTTTTAATTTTGCACCAAAAGATTCTTAGAAAACTTACCTAACCTTATTATAACAAGAGTAATTTATTTTGGCCTAACCCAACTAAATATATTTTAGATTTGTTTACAATAATTTAATACTAAACAAACCCAGTGAAATATATTTTTTTTCGTTAGGTTCAGAATGATTTTGGCGAAATTATTGCATACACAAATTTTCACTTGTCCTATATGGCAAGATGAGCGTTGCTATTTAAGCCAAGATCGCAAGTTCTGCCTATTCGGCACGACACACACATATATATATATATATATATATATAAAAATATATATATATATATTTTATATATATATATATATATATATTATATATAATATATATATATATATATGTCGTGCCGAATATGTAAAACTGGTCAATTAGCAAAAACTCATTTAAAATTAAGTCCTTTCTAAAATGTTCTCTTATACGTTCAAAGATATATTTTTTTCATTAATGGTAATGTAAAAATTTTTAATTTTGCACCAAAAGAATCTTAGAAAACTTACCTAACTTATTATAACAAGAGTAATTTATTTTAGCCTAACCCAACTAAATATATTTTAGATTTGTTTACAGTAATTTAATACTAAACAAACCCAGTGAAATATATTTTTTTTCGTTAGGTTCAGAATGATTTTGGCGAAATTATTGCATACACAAATTTTCACTTGTCCTATATGGCAAGATGAGCGTTGCTATTTAAGCCAAGATCGCAAGTTCTGCCTATTCGGCACGATATATATATATATATATATATATATATATATATATATATATATTATATATATATATATATATATATATATATATATATAATATATATATATGTCGTGCCGAATATGTAAAACTGGTCAATTAGCAAAAACTCATTTAAAATTAAGTCCTTTCTAAAGTGTTCTCTTATACGTTCAAAGATATATTTTTTTCATTAATGGTAATGTAAAAATTTTTAATTTTGCACCAAAAGAATCTTAGAAAACTTACCTAACCTTATTATAACAAGAGTAATTTATTTTAGCCTAACCCAACTAAATATATTTTAGATTTGTTTACAGTAATTTAATACTAAACAAACCCAGTGAAATATATTTTTTTCGTTAGGTTCAGAATGATTTTGGCGAAATTATTGCATACACAAATTTTCACTTGTCCTATATGGCAAGATGAGCGTTGCTATTTAAGCCAAGATCGCAAGTTCTGCCTATTCGGCACGATATATATATATATATATATATATATATATATATATATATATATATATATATATATATATATATATATATATATATATATATATATATATATATATATATATATATATATATATATATATATATATATATATAATATATATATATATATATATATACACACACAAGGCAATATAAAGGACTTAACATTCTGAATGTAGATGTGTCTGGAAATTGTCTGAGGAAAATTTCACACCTTTAAGGAAAACAGGAAAGTTCACCTACAGAGCAGACTAATGGTCGAGCCTCAAAAAGGGACACAAACCCCAAGCCCAAATTCCTAGGAGTGGAACTCTGACAGCTAAGACAATCCAGAACATTCATATGAGAACCTGGTTCTAGACTGTGTACGATAGCCTGAATGAAAGCCTGAATTATAAATGAATCGAGCTTGAACTGCCATTATATAATGTTTATCGTCACATATATCATAATATTTTTGTGATCATTATTCTTTAAAAAATATGATTAAAATGTGTTTTAAGTGTTCTTTAAGATTTAACAATAGTTATATTCTTTAGCGAGTTATTTACGCTAGTTTTACGTGTTTTTTTTTTTTTGTCGTTTTGGGGCATTATGTCCGGTTTACGTCAAAACCCGGGTTACGTCACGGCTCTTGAAACCAATTAATGACGTAGGGCGGAGTATGACTGAGGGAGTAATGCAACAAGGCTCAAAGTGCGGTAGCAACGTGTGAGGGTGTCGCCCCTCCTCGTCTACAACCATCTAGACCGACAGTTAAAAAGAAAACGTTTTTGAACCAGAATGTACCGTCTCCGCCTAACCAAGGTGTGCTAGAAAAGTAACAGATTCAAGAAAAAATAAAGGAAGACAGGAGAAAGGGACAGCAACAGGGAAAATGTCAATGAAGGCTGTTAGTTACACTGTAAATGGACTTAATTCAGTACTTAAGTTATACTGTTGGTTCAGTTAGGTTAGGTTAGGTTCGTCAGGAAACAGGACAAATGTTTCCTGACGCGAGTCTTAGTCAGATAATGACCCACCTTTGGAGCTTTTGGTCATCTGACCGAGGCCTTCCGCTGGCTTACCGGTCCACCCCTTTAAAAATTATGGTCATGTAGAACCATTTTTGTATTAATTTTACAGTGTAATACGTAGATATTGTATTAGCATAGCATTGGTTCAGGGACATAATACCTTCTGTAGGTATTAAAGGAGATGCTGCTATATTCACTGACGTGACTTATCCGCTCGTGGTGTACTATGTAGAGTGTGAGAGCGAATGTAGGATAGTACGTGTAAATGGAAAATGGGATGAACATCCTATTGCATAGTTTGTGTGTATGCTCCAGCCACCAGGGATGTAATAATTAAAAATGCATTTTCCAGGGACACAGGGACACTGTGCCATATTACATACGTTCCCTCCCAGAAGTGGTGACTGGAATTATTTGGCACGCTTGCTAGATGCAGAATCTATTGGTGGTGGGTGTGTTACCAGTGTGTTAAGAAGTCTGTTAAGTGATGTTAACTTACATGATCGTTGTGGTATACATGCATCAAGGAAGAATTATATATATTTCAGAGTTACGCAGCACGTTTAATTAAATCGGATATATGCGTCTAGGAATATTGAAGCTTCGAATGTAACGTAATTGAATGGAGTCCTTTCCGATCACTTAGGGATATTTGTCGAATTGAAATAGGCAGCTGTTGTCACTGTACACATGTCATATTGGAAAATGAATATTACTACTTTGAGATAAGCTCAAAATGTTGATAGATATAAGGAGTAGTGGCGATGTCAAGGCTATCGTCATGAATTTGGTGACTGTATACCTCGGTGGCAGACGGTTATGAAAACACATGTAAGACTGATGTATAAAATGGCCCCATTATGTATCTCTGTAATCTTTTGACTACCGCCCACAGGATGGGTATGGGGTGCCTAATAAAGATATTTATTAACTATGACTGATATGTAAAAAGTTAACGAGGGAATGGCATGAGATAAACGAGGGGTTGTTACAGCATTATGAGGCTCGATTAGCTATAGGTGTGAAACATGGCGGTAGTGATTAATACACTCTTGTGCTCAAAAAGCACTGTATGTATCAAATTTAAATCCATTGTTGGAAGGCGTAGCATGTAAAATACACTCTGCAATATTTAAGTATGTGTGGGGTTACCTGGAGGTTACCTGGAGGTTATTCCAGGTAACCGGTCCATGGAAGGTTATATCGGAAGGTATTAATATTACTAAAGAAGAATTGTGGTATTGGTTTGATAGATATAAGGCGAAAACCTTTATGTGTATTTGCATAGATTAACCATGTTAGTACATTCCTTGACAATGGCTTAAAAAGAACATATAAATGAATAATTGTTGATTTGTGTTCAATAATAATAAAAAGTAGCATCTTGTGTATTAAGAAATGGAGTGTAGTAGTGGCTGGCATTACTGTGTACAAGTTCAGTGTTAATAAAAGTATATATCGAAATGTACAAGTTTTGTATCAATTATATAGATGGAATCGAATATGGTGTAATAACTAAAGTGAGAAATGTACCTAAACGAGAGTTTTTGTATAATTATATATCTGGTGTTTTACCTTCTAAAGCCGTTCACCTCATGAAAACTGTGATCAGAAAGGCAGCGTGCCAGAGACGTGGATTATTACCTACATCTTTATTTTTGTAACAGCCATGCTGAAGTAAGAGAACGACAGTTATTACCTGCAATAAAGTTGAATTCTTTTTGCCAAAGGAAGACGTGGAATGAGCATTAGCTTATCTGGTAACTCATTATTTGTATCTGATGTGGAGTGTTCGTGATGACATTATTATTGAGAAGCTCATAATTTTGTTGTTAGCAGGTAAAAATGTATAGAGCAAAACTTCGAGATCTACAGGTTTACACAAAAGTTTCCGGTTGGTTATCATGAGTTAACAGTATAAGAACTGATTGGTTTATATCATGTACAATGAATGAGGTAAATAATCTTATAGGATGTAACCTGAATCATTTATATAGTTATTGATAAACATGTACGTGTACGTGGGTATATATATATATATATATATATATATATATATATAATATATAATATATATATATATATATATATATATATATATATATATATATATGCAAAACAACCACCGTGAAAGAACAGAGAAATTCCAATCGCTTTCGTGACTACTCACATTATCAAGGAACAATCATTGTTCCTTGATAATGTGAGTAGTCACGAAAGCCCTTGAATTTCTCTATTCTTTCACGGTGGTTGTTTTGCATATTCTAAAATCACCTGTTTACTGTGATCTTATATATATATATATATATATATATATATATATATATATATATATATATATATATATATATATATATATATATATATATTATATATACACGTCAATATCTGTGTGTATACATGATTTGTTAAAATAAAATAAACTTGTTATCTACGTGTTGCTAGGTCGTCTTGACATCACTGACTTCTTCAAACATTACAAACTTATGAAGTTAGGTATTTATGGCAAAGTATACGAACTTATAAACTAAAATGTAAATTGGTCAAATGTAAATATTAATTTATAAAGCCATAATATAAATTTATAAAATACACAACCCGCATAGTCAATCTATGTGCCTTTCTATTCTTTTTAAACTCGTAAAACTATAATATAAACATGTAATATTATAGTATAAAGGCATAAAATTATTTTTTTGTAGTTAATCTGGTATATAATAAAGTATAAAGATAGCATCTATAAAAGGGAAACCTTATATAACTTGCTTCAAATTTCCCTCACGGTCACTAGGACTCAGTTCCTGGAACAAGTTGCTGGATCCTTTCACTGTATCCTGGAATGTCTGGAATAACTTAGAAAATCCCGGCTGGCGTAGTTTCGAATGTTTAAAAAAAAATGTCTGATAATTCGACGACGAAGGAGAATGAAATTCAAGTCTGTTGCTGGATATTTGATCATTTTTTTGTCAAATTGTGTGAAATTTTTGTTCCAGTTCAATTAAACCAAATATATTTTAGTTTGCCTCTTGTCAACGACTTTAATATTTAATGGCTGGTGTGTCTTACAGCCAGGGTAGTACATATAATACACAGATAACCCAAGTCACACTGTGTGACTTGGAAACGGGCCAGATCGGACAAAAACGTTGTCATAAGCTTCTGTCTATGTACAGGTTACTTATGTATTGTTCCAGTCACTGTATTGTGCCTTATTTGTCAGTGATGTATGGCCCTTATGGGTTAGCGCTAAGTTACAACAACAACAACAACAACAACAACAATAATAATAATAATAATAATAATAATAATAATAATAATAATAATAATAATAATAATAATAATAATAATAATAATGTGACTTTTCTTCCCTTCAATTCCTTTTAAGTTTTGTTTATGTGTGAGCAGATTTGTTGAAGCAGTAAAATAGTTAATAAAAAAAAGCTTGGAATGTGGATAATGAGAACCTTCAAAACTAGGGATGCCAAGCCCATGATGGTTCTCTTCAAGTCGCTTGTTCTCTCTAGGCTGGAATATTGCTGTACACTAACGGCTCCTTTCAAGGCTGGCGAAATTGCTGATCTGGAGAATGCACAAAGAACTTTCACGACACATATAAGTACGATAAAGCACCTAAGGATGAACGACAATATAATACGATACGTGGATTCTCCTTCTACACTACTCCTGATTATCCTAAAGACATGGATGCACAGACATTGATCCCCCTCCTCCAGAGAGACGAAGTCAAGTACGTCTGTAGTCCATCACGTTTTCTCTTCCTTAGAGAACTCATCAATCTTAATTCTCCAAAGATCGACCAAGACCACAAATTTAGAATCAGCCACATGCCAATACCGAAGTTCAAGACTCTTTCTAATGGGACAGTAGCTTAACACACCTCAAGCTGACCGCCACCAATACAACTCAACCTGCTTGCTGTCTTCAGACACTCCCAGCTCCTGCCGCTGCCTTCGCCATCTTCTCTTAGCCAAGTACCGACATCATTCAAGCCTCTCAATCTACGTTTCCAGTACTTTGTACCACATGTCCCAAAGTGGTTGGGCCACTTACCTTGTTTCCTCCTCTTCCCCTCCTTCCCATCCTTTTCCAGTTATTTCCATCCTTCCTTATCCTTCTTCCTTCCCATCTCACGACAGCTCTCGTCGTCTTCGATTCGATTCGATTCGGATACCCTGTAGGTTATGATCTTGATTCAACGAGTTTGAGAAACCCCATCTCGTGTCAATTCTCGTTGCTCCTTGAATTTCACAGGCGCTGTTTGATTCTGACTTATTTGCCTCTTCCCAGAATATATAATAATACTTCTTTTGAGTAATTATTCATCAAGTTGGCATTTGCATGCCGTTAAGCACAAATTTTGTGATGGAGTCACTTATCACCAGCACATAGGAGAAAAGCTTATGACGACGTTTCGTTCGATTTGGCCAATTAGTGACACTGTGACTAATCAATGATTGAAGGCTGACCGAAACGTCGTGATAAGTTTCTGTCTCCTATGTGCGGGATATCTGTGTATTTCAGTCACGGTATTGTGCCTTTTTGTTCTCTGTAACAGATCCACAACGCTTTACATTCCACGTCAAGCAGCAGCAGTGTTGCAACACGTGCCTCTACTGAAATTACACACACAGAGCATGTCTGGGAAATGTAAATGAGATAAGGTTGCCATAAGAGAGATACGGGGGACATGTTATTATGCTCATCGTTATCAGAGAGAAAGGAAGGGGTTTGGGGATGGTTTCAGTGAAATGGTGAGAAGGGAAGGTACCGCCTCAAGCCCTCTCAGTCTGTTACACTCATTACTGCAGTACTAACCTTACAAGTGGTGTGAAAGAACGCGCAGGGACTATCTGCGTGATCCTCTAATCAGTACAACTCTCAGCGGTGCGTAGAACCAGTGCTTCTAGTCTCTTCTTTCATCCTCTGCAATGAACAGAAAGGTTAGCGTTTAACACTGTATATAACTGTTTGTGTGTTAGATTAAAATGTCCTCTTGAATGCACTCTGGCCTTTTAAGACTGTGTTTCACGGTACACTAATAAAATTAATCTTTTGACATCTAGAATAGGGAATACAGTCAAATAATTTGTGTATTTACACGGAGACACACCTCTCGATGTATATAAATCGAGAAATACACACCTCCTGGTGTTAATATACACACCTTTCGTTGTATATACCCTTTATAATAACTATATATAATATATATATATATATATATATATATATATATATATATATATATATATATATATATAATATATATATATATATATATATATATATATATATATATATATATATTATATATATATATATATTATATATATATATATATATATGTATATATACAGCATCAAGGAAGATTCCTTGACGCTGGTGAGGGGCTCTTGATCTAAGGAGCTGGATCTGTGCTCCAGTTCCCTGAATTAAGCCTGAGTAATTCCATCCCCCAATGGCGTTGTATAATCCTACGGGTTTAGCGCTTCCCATATATATATATATATATATATATATATATATATATATATATATATATATATATATATATATATATATATAATATATATATATATACTATATATATATATATATAACATATAAGACGTGCGTGTTAATTTTATTGATGGTAATTTCTCACTTTTGTTTATTGAGTGTTAATTTAAAGCTGTTGTTAACTGAGATTGTTAACATCACACTGACTTAATAATGTTTGTAAGTCTGACAGATGTAAGTCTAGCAGATATTTGTAAATCTGACAGACATTTGCAGGTCTGACAGATGATTATAAGTGTGACGTTCGTAAGACTGACAGACGTCGTTGTCTCACAGGCACTATCAAGACTGACAGACAAAAAAGACTGACAGCCGAGAACACGACTTTATTCCCCAAACTTTGTAGACGTTTCTCTGAAAGTAAAGAGCTTATTATCCAAGGAGTTAGAGCTGTCCTTTCCCCCTCTTTTCCTCGGATCAAACCTGTTAACCTTCCACTCCCCAAGCGCTGTGTGATCCCATACAGGCTTGGGTCTTCCCCATGCTTACTTTAATGTGTTAAGCATTGTTTTCTTGGCTTATCTGCACCACCAGTGTGACATGCGATAACAGTTTTCCTGTTCTATCTACGCTCTTTTGTTTTATGACGCGCTATCTGTTGTTTTATGTTTCACTGTTTTGTTTCACTGTTTTATGCTTCACTGTTTTTTTCACTGTTTTATGCTTCACTCGTTGAGACAGCATAGTCTCACCCTCCTCAGCCACATGTAGGTGAGTACTCAGGATGCAACCATTTACTTTGTATACACTGTATACATGCGTACTGGTAATGATATTTACTTAAAATACAAGTGACACACACACACACGCACGCACACACACACACACACACACACACACACACACACACACACACACACACACACACACACACACACACACACACACACACACACACACACACACACATTGCTTTTAGAACAGGTACGATAAGGCTTTTGAGGCAGGGGAACAGTGAACCTAGTAGCGATCAACGAAGAGGCGAGGGCCAGGAGCTATGAGTCGACCCCTGCAACCACAAATAGGTGACTACACACTCACACACACACAGGGAAAATGTGCAGATGTGGATGAGGAATCTTGAGAATGAATTATGAACCGGAGTGTTGTAGGTTTAAAGTTTACTAAAAATCTGTTGTAAATTTAAATATTTCACATTTTTAAACACAAACATACACACAAGACTAGTCCCGGACCTGAGGGGTATATCCTACGAGGAGAGGTTCAGGGAAATCGACCTGACGACACTGGAAGACAGGAGAGATAGAAGGGATATGATAATGACATGTAAAATACTGAGACAAATCTACAAGGTGGACAGAGACAGGATGTTCCAGAGATGTGACACAGCAACAAGGGGTCACAGTTGGAAGTTGAAGAGTCAGATGAATCACAGGGATGTTGGGAAGTATTTCTTCAGTCACAGAGTTGTCAGGAAGTAGAACAGTTTGGGAAGTGATGTAGTGGAGGCAGGAACCATACTCAACTGTAAGAAGAGTATGATAAAGTTCATGGAGCAGGAAGAGTGACCAAGTAGCTGCCAGTGAAGAAGCGGGCCCACGAGCTGTGACTCGACCCCTGCAACCACAACTAGGTGAGTACAAATACGTGAATACACCCACACCATACCAGGAGTCTATCGACAAGTGCATTTAACAATTAGTAGCTAAATACACACACACTTGTGATATTCTTCTGATAAGAATTCTTGTAGTCTTATCAGCGTTTTTCTGCTAATACGTACTTCTACATTGTATGATGCTTTTGAAGGGTTATGGATTCAAAGCACTGAAGCTATCTCTCTCTTTACACTGATCAAACATGATTATCTCTCATTTTAAGCCCTTACTGGCTTTAAAAAAAGAGGGGACCAAATTAATCCTTGTGGAACGCGACTTAAGATGGGTAACTATTCTAATTTCTCCCAAATTCTCCCCTGAGAGAATTTCAGCTACACCATGTGCTGACATATTTTTTTGTATCAGTGTCACTGTGGAAACTTGTCCTGTGCTCCTATGGGAGAATACCTCGACGCTCTTGATCCGATGAATTGCTTTCCACAAGGCTCAGTTTTGTGGCTCGTGTTCATAGTCTACCTGAACGACCTTGGCAAAGACCCATTATGTTTCTCTGGGGATTAGGTGCTAATCAGGGCTGATCCATAGAAGGGAAATTTAGATTAAGCTTTTTAGGATCAAGATCCCTTTGCTTGAATGAGGCATTCAAGGCACCGACCTTGATGATTGTCGATGTGGAAGCACACAGTTGATGGTAAACATGACGTAACTGACAGCAGGAGTCCCTGCTAGGATACTAAATATTCTCTAGCAATTCGTAGCTTATAGTTGTGTACCTTACTACTGCTTCTTCTAGCAGCGGAACTGACGAAATGACAGATATAGGAAAAGATTATACTGTGACAACGCTTCGGTTAGTACAGAGGTCTACTTAGCCAATAATGCTACTGCTAACATAAATGACCTTTTTTTTGCAGTATAAGCTGGTGGTAGTGCTGGGTGTTGTAACTGTGGTCATCTGCCTCATATATGCTGATCTGATGCCTTCTTTTCCACTACCAAATATTAGTATTAATTATGCCAATATCTTACGTCCAACGGAAAATAGAACGAAGTAAGTATTTCAGCATATGTATATACGTATATATATATATATATATATATATATATATATATATATATATATATATATATATATATATATATATATATATATATATATATATATATATATATATATATATATATATATATATATAATATATATATATATATATATATATATATATATATATATATATATATATATATATATATATGTCGTGCCGAATAGGCAGAACTTGCGATCTTGGCTTAATTAGCAACGCTCATTTTGCCATATAGCACAAGTGAAAATTTGTGTATGCAATAATTTCGCCAAAATGATTCTGAACCTAACGAAAAAAATATATTTCACTGTGTTTGTTTAGTATTAAATTATTGTAAACAAATCTAAAACATATTTAGTTGGGTTAGGCTAAAAAAAATTGCGCTTGTTATAATAAGGTTAGGTAAGTTTTCTAAGTTCCTTTTGGTGCAAAATTATAAACTTTTACATCAACATTAATGAAAAAAATATATCTTTAAACGTATAAGAGAAAATTTTAGAAAGGGCTTAATTTTAAATGAGTTCTTGCTAATTGACCAGTTTTACATATTCGGCACGACATATGTATATATATATATATATATAATATATATATATATATATATATATATATATATATATATAATATATATATATATTACTGCACTTGAATAATTTTTATTTTCTTTGTTTATGTTTCAGGTAACGTAGCAACGGTTAGGTAGTGAGACAAACGATCGATGTGTTTTGTTCAGTGTAACTAGGTGCTCAGTCTTGACTTCTTATACATGCTACATGCAATTTAATGACCCTTTGTAGTCGATAGGTTTTAAGCCTAACGAACAGACTTAATGTGTTCCATACACAACTTATCCTTAGCTATGTTAATTTTCTGAGATTAAGAGTTTACTGTGAGCCCCCATATTCATTGTGAGAAATTACTTCCATGAGGTTGACAGGGTATTACCTGAATTATTACATGCAAGTGATCTGGGTGAGGTAAGTGGGATTTAGTCACAGTAGGTCACAGGACTGTCACTCCCTCGATGCCCACTCCTTCACCATTTTTAACAAATTCAGGTCGAAACACCCAATTATGACTTCTGTGACTCCGGATTAAATTTCACTATTAACAGACCAATGCTCACTCCGCGGCCGTTGCACATCTTTCTTCACCAAATTTCTCGAAGTGTCAAACCAGCATCACATTGCAATACACAATTATTATATTATTTATATTTACACATGCTGAATTTAGGAACATTATAAAAAAAATCCACATTTATCCTGTGAACAATAGTAGACGGAAGTACATCATTCCTATTGACGTCACATTTTATATGGTTATGGACCCTAACCTAACCTAATCTATTTTAACCGATCGCAAGCCAGCTTAACCTAACTTATTCAAACCTAACTGAACCTAATGTAACTTAACCTACCCTAACTTGACTTACCTTAGTAAGTTTATTTAGGCACAGGTACACTTAAATACAGTTACACACATTATCATAGATAGTAACATATTATTGTAACCACGGACAAGTGGTATTGATCAATAACACTGCAACTAGTCAAGGACTCGAATCATGTTGTTTTGGCCCGCTTCATGGTGAGCGAAAGCCGCAAGACGCTCTAAATCACAGGACCACCAAATCCTACAAGAATCACGCACCCACCAGAGCTAGATCACGCTAAAACACCTAGCTCTGTTGGGTGCGTGATTCTTGTAGGATTTGGTGGTCCTGTGGGTTAGAGCATCATTTAGCTTTCGCTCACCATAAGACGGGCCAAAACAACATGGGTTCGAGTCCTTGGCTAGTCGCAGTGTTGTTATTGATAGTAACATATGTGTAAATTACCTAGGATAACCCCAAGGATAATTTGCATACACTCCAACGCCACGATTCTATCACCAGCGCCCAAGCGTAATGAGAACACGGAGTACATCACTGAAGCAAGCATTTTAGCACCCACAACACATAGAATGTCTCAACCCACAATCCAGGTGCACTTTCAACATCACTGGTGTGATGGAAGGGGTAGGAAGGACTTGCCTTGATCTTGTGTAGGGCTGTTGATCTTGAGAAATAGAAATATCCAGCTCTCTGTCCTCGGATGGAAGCTGTATGTCACCTATTCCCCCGGTGCTGTGTGGCCCCTTCAGATAATAATAATAATAATAATAATAATAATAATAATAATAATAATAATAATAATAATAATAATAATAATTACTATTATTATTATTTATCTTCATCTAGTAAAAATTATTCCACTATCTTCAACACGGCCTTCAATATCTACTGAAAAAATAAAATAAAATTATTAAGGTATATAGACAGACTGCTTATAAATGACCATAATTTTTAAAGGGGTGGACCGGTAAGCCAGCGGAAGGCCTCGGTCAGATGACCAAAAGCTCCAAAGGCGGGTCATCATCTGACTAAGACCCGCGTCAGGAAACATTTGTCCTGTTTCCTGACGAACCTTACCTAACTTAACCTAATAAAATAATTTCTCATATCTTATCTAGTAGACGGAACTGAGTAGATTTTAGCCTACGGGAGACAACGAAAAGTCGTGTGATACCCATGAAGCTGAGTAGATATTCTGAAGTAGATAACAGTAGCCCTTTAGTACCCACAGTGCCGAGTAGATATTTTAGAAGATAAGAACAGCCTAGCTAATGCCTGCAGAATTGAATAGATGCTAGAATAGAGTAGATAAAACTACTGGTCTTATACCCGTTGTGGAAATTTACATTTATCTGGATGTAACTCATAATGTACATACCAGTAAATGATAACAAAGATAATTATTATTTATCAAAGTTACATAGACAAGTAGGAATTTGGGACACCTAGGTCACAAAAAATGTCCCCCTTCGATACCTACCACTGTCATATCCACAAGTTGCTCTAGACCTATTAATTACAAATGAAATATGCATCACCAGGAATTTTGGTAAATATATAAATTGGTGGACTGTATATTAAAATTAATAATACTTATACACATTTATATAACAGAAGGAGAATATATCTTAATATCACTCACCAATTTGACTGGAGATTAATGTGTATCATACTCAAAAGAACCTCATTCTAACTAAATTTATGATGATAATACTGGCCAGAATTACAACACAATTTAGATAGCTTATCTGAGGTTCCTGGAGCTGTCTTGTCCAGTCGTCTGATATCTCAAGTTATGTATGAATGCACATCCAACAATTTCGGCTCCTATTTGAGAGGTGTCATCCCAATATAACCTCTAGAGCACGAAAATTCTTCCGATTATTCACTAACGTTTGTGTTGACTAGTTCAAACATAGTGAGTCTCTTCTGCGCAGGCGCAGAATTTCCCATTTTTTATAACATAAATTTTATTAAAGACAATGTATTACACTAATTTACATAAAAAAATACACTGTATTTTTTCTGAAAAATACATTATTTTCCACATCCGTAGTTTTATGTTCTCTAGGCCCTTCAATGAAGGGTAGAGGCGCTTTGATGTCACTGAACAGCTCTTGGGCCAAGGAAACTGAATTGTACTCGGCTACCCTGTGTGGAAGTTGATTGTGTCTCATTCCTCGGTTGCTGCTTGACCCCTACGGATCTAGTGCTTTCAAATAACAACAACAACAACACTAATAATAATAATAATAATAATAATAATAATAATAATAATAATATGGAAATGGGGTCCTGTCTTTCATGTAAATTCTCCAATATTAAGTGAGTTAGGCAAAGTAGGTAGATGTATTTTGGGGCTATGAGAAAAATAACTCAGTCTAGCCTAACCTAGAATTTAACCTCTACAATAAGTTAGTTTAGATTAGGTTGGGTTATTTTATTTTTTTCACCCAAAACAAGCTAATAATCAACTGACCCAAATTATAAGATCTACACTCCTGAACACACGTAACAATGGAGAATTTATATAATAATATACTGTAAGCTCAAAACAAACGAATCTCATCTCTATTGATTAAAGTTTTCTCGTCTGGTTCGCGATCGACACCATGCCCAGCCCTTCTAGGGTAGGGTAGGTGCCTGAGCCAGAGCCTTTAGCTCATAAGACTGTCATTCCCATTTGCTCCCTTGGGGCGGGGATGGCAGACCAGAGAGGCCTAGCTTGTGGCTAGGCCTAGGGACAGTTGGTCCCAAAGATGAGGAGGTACTTGTGCCTCCTCCCATGGGAGACTTAGGTCTCAGACACTCCCTAAAGAGGGAGCCAAGGCCGGGCCACCACTTGGAAAAGGCCCGGGCCGGGAGAATACCGGCGAATCTTTAATAATAATAAATAATAAAGTCTGGTTCGCCGGGTCACCGTCTGGAGAAGACCCGGGAGGCCGGGTCAGTACCGGCGAACCTGTTATTTATTTGCTTCTCTGGTGTGATTGTCCTGTTTCCTGACAACTTTACCTCTGATGTTGAAAAGGTTACGTGAAGCTTTAATGACCCTAGTGTAGTCGACAGGCTTAAAACTCCAGTAACCAACAAATTATTCTAAAAATATTAATAATTTTAGTCCTACACGCTCTTAATCATCTTTACAGAGACGAAAACACCACCCAGAAACAAATAAATGAAACCTATTATAAGGATACAGATCCTCCACATCTACACTATCCAAGTCTACTTCCTCCAGGGGAAGGAGACAGAGACTTGGGTTCGAACCCTACAACAGAGGTGACCATCACTCCGATCCTGCTGCCGGGGGATTCTAATTTCCCCTACGAAGAACTGAGTATGGTCAATGCTAGTTCACCGCCCGTAGATTTGTTCAAGGAAGTTAGCATCAATGCTGATGATCCTCCACTGAAGAAAATTTTGTTCTGGAATGACGTGAGTAGAGTTTCTATTTCTGTCTTTGTCTTAGTTGCTATTTCTGTCTCTGTTTATGTCTTTTGTCAGTTTGATAATCTCCCATTATCAGGCTGGCTAGCATAAAGTAAGATTTGTTCGGATTTTTAATCCAGAGGGTTATCCACTCAGGATAACCCAATAAAGTCAGTGCGTCATCGAGGACTGTGTTTTATTTTCATCGGGTCTTTTCATCTTCTTCCCCCAGGATGCGACCCACAACAGTCGACTAACAACTAGGTACCTACTTACTGCTAGGTGAACAGGGAACAGGGCAGCAGATGTAAGGAAATATGCCCAACGCTTCTACCCGTGCCAGAGATTGAACCACGGATGCTCAATGTGTATCCGTGATTCAATCCCCGGCATATATATATATATAAATATATATATATATATATATATATATATATATATATATATATATATATATATATATATATATATATATATATATATATATATATTATATATATATATATATATATATATATATATATAATATATATATATATATATATATATATATATATATATATATATATATATATATATATATATATATATATATATATATATATGTATTAGCTAGTCACTGCAGCCTAAGATCACATAACCGATGACTTCTACTGGCTTACAGTCCACCCTTTAAAAATTAAGTTGATATGTTATGAAACTTAAGGAATAATTACTTAACGATTGTGTACTTACAGGCTTACAGCAATAAACACTTCGGGTTTGGGTTCGGTCGGGAGCCGTTCCTGCGTGCTGGGTGTCGTGTCAATACCTGCATGACCACTGGTGACCGATCCAAGTTTCCACTCATGGAAATAGATGCCGTCATATGGCACTTTAGAGCCAAAGACAAGTCTCTTCCTAAGCTGCGGTAGGAATTCTTTCATAATTTTCAGAGATGTGTTTTATTTTTAAAGGGGAGGGGGAGTAGCAAGCCAGTGGAAGGCCTCAGTCAGATGACCAAAAGTTCCAATAGCGGGTTATCATATGACCAAAACCAGTGTCAATAACTATTTTCACTCTCACATGATAAATCTTATTTAACCTAACCTGCTTAATAAAAAAAAATATCGAATTTCTGTAGTGTAGTCGTTTGTTCATCAGGAAACTAGACTAGTTTCTCCTGAGAAGGATGTTTTGTCAGGCGATGACCCGTTCATTGATCAAGAGACAATAGACTTACTGGTACTGAGTAATAGTGATTGAACAACCGTGGAATGGAAGACAGTTACGACTGATTCAAGGAAGAGGAGGGGCATCTCCGACCCCTTCATAATTGAAGATTTTGATTAGTGCATTTCGAGGCTGTATGACACAGATGGGTTTAACACTTATTATTAAATATAATAATGATAAAATAGTAATAATAATAATAATAATAATAATAATAATAATAATAATAATAATAATAAAATAATAATGATAATTATTATTATTATTATAAAACAATAATAATTCTGGAAACACCTCATTAAACTTATGTTAGTCTGCAGGTCCCCACATACTCGCTATGTCTTCTGGATGATGGAGTCAGCCTCTCACCTATACGGAAACATCGAGCCTTACAACAATGTCTTCAACTGGACGATGACCTACAGACTTGATTCGGATTTTCCCAACCCGTATGTTGCCTTGGTAATAAATTTTGTGATATGTGAGAAATATTTCCAAACTTCTGTTTATATATTGGTTACAAAATTCCTAGTTTAGCTATAGGCATCAACACGAGATTTAATTGTGTGGGAACGCCTCATTCACTCGGTGTCAAATTTTCAGTGATGGTGTACTGTAAATAGGGAAAAGATTCATGCAACTTCTGACATATGTAGCTGCATTTGATCATTTTCTTTTATCCCGGATTTGGTGTCTGTGCAATAACTTGGCAACGCCTTTTTTGACCTGCTTCAGATTTTCAACACTGAAGTATCGTACGTGAATTACTAATGGAGTGAGTAGTGTCCGTTCCCAATTCATTTTAGTGATGCAGTTTTTTATGAAGTTACTGAATTATACCTCTTCTGAACGGAGAAACTGGGATCTTTAGGTTTGCTTGCAATAAATTTTGAATGTTCTCATGATCAGCTTCACATGTTTAATGCACTGGAAACTTATGCTACACCCTTTATCATACCTCTTACGTTCATTGAGGATTATGGGGCTGGTTATGGGACTGAGGATACCTCTCTCGAAACGTGCACTGTCCTAAACATGAGTCTGCAGATGGCCGAGGCTGTGGGATACGAAATATTATTCTCGGGACGCAGCGACCGTGTAACAGTGTAGCCTGTTTTATTTTTTTGGTCATCCATAATGGGGTTATAGTAGGCATCAAGCAGGACGAGGGTGAGGTAAATCGAATAAAATTAAATCTTTATTGGGCATTCCTAGCCTGGTAAACATGATCAAAAATGTTGAATTGGTAAACTTAATCATAAAGGCTGTGGGAAATCCTTGAAGTCAGTATATAAGTGAAGAGTCAGGAGTCATGAATTCCATTACGTCTTCAAACCTCCTTTAACTATATTCTTTATTAAGAAAATCTCAATGGAAAAAAATAAAAAAATTCCTGAATAAGGACTGATCCATGGTTACATAAACTGAAGCATCATGAAATCCGAAAATGCCTTTAGATCCTCTAACTTATTTCATACGTTCCAGTTATAAATATTTACAGCTATCTCGGTAAATTTAGGCTGAGGAAAAAGAGCTTCTAATTACGTTATGTGTCTCAAGAACTGTTGATAATTACGTTGGGAAGCGAAGAAAAATCTTGCTACGTCGTTGTCTAATGTTATTATTATTATTATTATTAAAGATTAGCCGGTAATCTCCCGGCCCGGGCCTTTTCCAAGTGGTGGCCCGGCCTTGGCTCCCTCTTTAGGGAGTGTCTAAGACCTAAGTCTCCCATGGGAGGAGGCACAAGTACCTCCTCATCTTTGGGACCAACTGTCCCCAGGCCTAGCCACAAGCTAGGCCTCTCTGGTCTGCCATCCCCGCCCCAAGGGGGCTAATGGGAATGATAGTCTTACGAGCTAAAGGCTCGGGCTCAGGCACCTACCCTACCCTAGAAGGGTTAGGCATGGTGTCGATCGTCTAATGTTAAATTAACTCGGTGGTATCAAGTTTCAGAGGATCAAAATCATTTGATTATGTTACATTCATGCTAACTGTTAAATGTTTGATTAGATATATAAGTCTTTCCACACCACTTAACATATAATAATTGAATATAGTTTTTCCTTTCAGTAAATGTGTTCATTTAAGGTATAGAATACTTAAGGACTTTTTAGCAATTAGTAAATGCCACTTCCTTCCTACATAGTATCAATCTTATGAAACTGATCACAGTAGAGAGCTAAACAGAACACATTTATGGCTTTGCATTAAGTTTAAACTTCATCATGCAATCGGCAGGTACAGCTATGTATACAGACGCAGAACGCCCCTGGAACCAACCAACCGGAACTACTCTGCCGGGAAATCTAAGTTCGCTGCGTGGTTTGTCTCCAACTGCAACACTATAGGCGGCAGGGACAAGTAAGTCTGAAAACGTTTGTTAAATATCCCGAAAGGAGTACAGGTATCAAAGTGAAGGTTTGTCTCCATTGCAATACCTTGGATAGCAAGGAAAAGTCTGAAACTATTTATTAGGTGTCTCTGAAAAGGCACCTTATGGTGACTGAATTATTTTTTTTTCTTCCAAAGTTTTAGTTTATAACTTCAGAACACCTCATTTTATTTGTTTTTAAATTTCCAATGCTTGTGTGTTACATATAGGGAAGGGTTCTTGCAACTATCACTATATTATGTATTAGTCCCTATATGCTAATTTTATTAAAAAAAAAAATGTTACATTGACTTTCACTCAAAAATTACATAATGCCTTTTCTGATTGGCTTCAAACTTCGAATGCTGATGAATTTTTATGAAATGAATGACACCCTCTACGTTTAGGTTGTGGAGGTGCAAATTTGCTAATATATCAGTATTAGCAGTATAGGAAAAAATATTTAAAATTTTTATATCACACAGTTTTGCCGGAAATAAATCAACAAGTATCGCCCAGCAACTGGCTTATATTATTTGTTTGAATACATACTCACGAACATGTATATGCACACTGAATTGCTATTTTATCAGTAGTAAGCTGACATCATAGCTCAGATGACCCTCCGAATCGTCTCATTTCTACACCGAATCTTACCTAGCCTAACTACAGTGCAGGAACTGTATTTCCCACCTCCAGGGCTTAAATCCTGCGCTGACTAGTTTACCAAACTCCTTCATAAATGTTACCCTTCTCACATTGCTTCCTTCCAACTACTTGCTTCCACTTAATTCGATCTAACACTCTAACAAAAGCTTTGTGGATGCTCAAGCCTCTGTCACTCAGATCTCCTTTACTCCTTCCCCAAGTCTTTTCTAGGATGACCTTCTAACTCTCCATCACAGATTTATATATACTCATTGTCATCCTAATTTGCTCCACCCTCTCTGAATATCCGAACCACCTCGACCTCACGAACCTCTACTCAGCCATATGAATTATACTTTGGTAACCTCACACTTTCTAATAACCAAGTTCAGAATTCTCTGCAAATTATTCACACCACATTACTCTCAAACACGACATTTCCAGCCTCCTCGTTGCAACGCTTGAAACCCATGCTTCGCACCCATGAAAGTGTCGGTACCTATATACGCTGGTACATTCCCTTTTTACCTCCACGTATAATGTTTTCGTTTTGTCTCAACAGATACCTCAGTGTTTCACCTACCTTTTTTTTCCTCCTTAATTCAATGGTTTACCTCATATTTCGTTGGCCCATCAACTGACAAGTTCACTCCTTCCGTACACGAATAACCCCAAATAAGCCTTTTTTCTCCTGTCTGAGGGTTATTTGTGTACTGTTCCAGTCACGGTATTATCTCACCCCTTCCATACTTTCTGCCAATAGTCCAATATCCAATCTTTCTTTCATTGCCTAAATATTTTTACTTTTATGACCTTACTCTTTTTAATATTCACTTTTAATTTCCTTCTTTTACTTATCCTTCTTAATTCCTCCACTAACCTTTGATTTTTTTCAGAATATCCTACAACATCATGTCAACAGCAGAGAGTAACTGCAACTATGTCCCTCATTATGTCAAATCTGCTGTCTTTTAATCCCACACCTCTGCCTAACATTCACTTCTTTTAACAACCACATCTATAAATGACACAGACTCTGGTCATAAGAATCATCTATAAATATGTTACATAACGATGGTGCATCACTTATATCAAAAGCCAGCTTTTAATGGAAAATAATCTCCCTCTCTCCTACATACCCTAACCTGAAGCTACTGTCTGTACTGAAGCTCTTATTGCTTTTAGTAACCTGCCACCCTATTAAGGCCATTTCTGAAGCCATTAATGTGACAAAAAACTCCAAAACCACTTTAAATATTACTCACTCATATGATTCATTACAAACACTCGGTCAATACAATATTATTATTATTAAAGATTCGCCGGTATTCTCCCGGCCCGGGCCTTTTCCAAATGGTGGCCCGGCCTTGGCTCCCTGTCTTGGGAGTGTCTGAGACCTAAGTCTCCCATGGGAGGAGGCACAAGTAGCTCCTCATCTTTGGGACCACAAGCTAGGCCTCTCTGGTCTGCCATCCCCGCCCCAAGGGGGCTAATGGGAATGACAGGCTTGTGAGCTGCAAGCTCGGGCTCAGGCACCTACCCTGCCCTAGAAGGGCTGGGCATGGTGTCAATCGGCCAATACATTTCTCACCCTTCCTAAACTCTCACCGTTCCTCTGCAATTCTACTTTCTGCCAGATTATATAATATGTTTATTATTCACAGAGAGCACTAAGCATTATTACGCTTGGTTTATAGATACTTTTTTTTCTTTATTTTACACTCAAAGCTTGGTTACGACACTAAGGAAATGGATCGAGGTGGACCAGTATGGACACTGTAGCAGTCTCAAGTGTGAACGTAAGGACGAGAAGAAGTGTTATGCTATGCTCTCCTCTGATTACAAGTTCTATTTCTCCTTCGAGAACTCTCTCTGTCGAGATTACGTCACAGAGAAGCTTTTTAATATTTTAAGGTACTGGTTAAATCACTCAAAAGAAATGTTGTTCAGTGTATATTTAGAAGAATTGTATAAACATATTTGCATATTTTTAATGTTTAAAGTAACTTGGGGGTTATGGTAAGCAGAAACCTTAAACCAAGACAGCAATGCCTAAGCGTACGTAATAAGGCAAATAGATTACTGCGATTTATATCAAGAAGTGTAAGCAACAGAAGTCCAGAGGTCATACTGCAGCTTTATACATCATTAGTAAGGCCTCACCTAGATTATGCAGCTCAGTTCTGGTCTCCATATTACAGAATGGACATAAATTCGTTAGAAAACATTCAGCGTAGGATGACTAAATTAATACATAGCATTAGAAATCTTCCTTATGAAGAAAGATTGAAGACTCTTAAGTTACATTCACTTGTTAGACGAAGAATGAGGGGAGACCTGATCGAAGTGTATAAGTGGAAGATAGGTATTAATAAAGGGGATATTAATAAGGTCTTGAGGATGTCTCTCCAAGAGAGAACCCGCAGTAATGGATTTAAATTAGATAAGTTTAGATTTAGAAAGGACATAGGAAAGTATTGGTTTGGAACTAGGGTAGTTGATGAGTGGAACAGTCTACCTAGTTGGGTTATTGAGGCTGGGACTTTGGGAAGTTTCAAATTTAGGTTGGATAAGTACATGAGTGGGAGGGGTTGGATTGAGTGGGACTTTCACATCAGAGCTTATTTCTTGGGTGGCATTGAAAATTGGGTTGGGCAAATGTTTTGTTAGTGGGATGAATTGTAAAGGACCTGCCTAGTATGGGCCAACAGGCCTGCTGCAGTGTTCCTCCTTTCTTATGTTCTTATGTTTTATGAGAGTTCTCGTTAAACCATCGGCTTGTTTTTGTTTTTTTCAAAGTTTGCTTTCAGTGACTGATTTGTATCTTTCTGGGTCATCTGGCATGTTCCACTTTTCTTCCTATCATAGTGTGAGTTACTTTCTAAAGTTTTGCTTTTCATTTCTCCAGTCCCTCTTCTGCAAATTTTTCACATCTTAGCGCAGTGAGTTCAGTAACTCCCAATAGTTTTCCATAAGCGATTTCTCCTAATCTGCTGAAAGTGAAGAACAGATCCTAAAATGTTAGTTCATCTTTTGCTTGGACTGTTTTATCTTAAAGTTGCTAGTGCGGTTTCCATCAGTCTTGCTTTACAAGTTTCCATTCCTCTTTATAGATCTTATAGTTTGTCTACTTCTGTGCTCCTCGACTTGCTCCTTATGTTTCCTCTGTTACCAACATCGATGCTTTTTATTCCACTTTTACAAAAACGTCTAGCATGATTATGTTATCATCCTTTTCGTCTTCATTCGGTATCCTAATGTTCTTGGGAATGAAATTATAGATTATAGTAATGCTTAAGCTCAGTATTTGCTTGTTATTTCTTTAACAATGTAGTTATATACTTTATTTGATTCATATTTAAGTCTGAAAGTTCGAAGGTCCACTGTTTCCTGATCATTGTACAATTCCCTCTTTTATTTTCTTTCCCCATTATGTGGTACTCATCTGGGAATACTGCAATGTCTATTCACGAGTTTTGCCTCGTTGCTTCAGTCCTTCATTTCTCTGAATTGCTTGTGTATCACTTGCTAATACTTGTGTTTATACATTATATTTTGACTCATGGTTCTCTCTTGATATATAACAAATGTGATGTGGTAGTCAATATGTCAAATACTTCGGCAGGTTGGACGTGATTCCTGTGGTATATGGATCAGCTAACTACTCACAGCATGCGCCGCCACACTCTTATATTGACGCTCTCAGCTTCCCCACAGCCAAGGCGCTGGCAGACTACCTCATCTACCTCAACAATAATGACACTGCCTACAATGAATACTTCAGGCAAGTCCTACTAGCCTTTTTCAAATATAAAAATTCAAACAGTGACAGACTATTAGATTTGATCCTTTTATACTAGACATCGTTATTTTTTTCATATATCTCTTTTTTTCCATAAATTACCAAGTCCTTCGTGAAGTTTACAGCAAACCCTCTACCTACTCCATAGTCTATCATCAGTACTTTGTTAAAACATTTGCAATTATCTTCCCTACCAACTGGCAGGTAGAAAATGTCCATAGCAGTAGAACGCCATCTTTTATTTCGTTTCCAGATATCTGTAGATGTATAATGTTGAAACTTTTGAATAATCATAAATTAGAGTTTTGAATGTTGTAATATTCGTTAGTCTGCATCTTTAAATGGCCCATTGGTGTGTTAATGCTGTCTGTTCAATACTGTTATAATATTCGTCAGGAGACTGAACAAGTGACTAATAACAAATCTCAGTTGTATAGATGATCAGAAGTTCTATTGTTTAATGGTTTGGTAGTTTGTCAGGAAGCAGGACAAATATTTCCTGAAGCGGTTCTTGGTCACATCTGGAGCTTTTGGTCATCTGACCGAAGCCTACTGCTGGCTTACCGCTCCACCCCATTAAAAATTGTGCTTATGATTATAAACCATTTTATAAACGTTTATTATATTATTAAGCATATTTTCTTTACCTGCGCTAATTAAGTTAACATATGGTATTTATAACGTCAGTTAACTAATTTTTTTTCAGGTTCGTATATACACAAAATTAAATGTTTCTAATTATAATATGTTGTTCATTAATACTGTACTCAGCCAGTTTTATTAAAAAAATCACCACCTATTAATCACTCTCTCAAAGAAAGGATGGAGGATGTCTTGAGTTGGTAAGTGATCCCAGACATTGTATGACCCCTGTGAGTTTAGTGCCTCACCAATAATAATAATACGGTTAATATTTGCTTTAGTTGGTCGGTTCGTTAGGTTAGGTTAGGTAAGGTTCGTCAGGAAACAGGACAAGTGTTTCCTGACGCGGGTCTTAGATGATGACCCACCGTTGGAACTTTTGGTTATCTGACCGAGGCCTTCCACTGGCTTACCGGTCCACCCCTTTAAAAACTATTGGTCAGTTATAACCATTTAAATTCAACTGGTTGGTTCATTATTATGTAATTTCTACAATACTGAATGGTTTTTAAATTTAAAGCCAGTATATTTAAGATTTATGGAAAAAAAAATTTATTGTAACGAAACAGCAATATAGACGATCCTAGCTTAACTTTGAATTTAACTCAAATTTTAGGTTCAATAAGGATAGGCCGGATTTAATTTTATATTAATAAAAAATAAGCTATTTTTTTTAAAGACCATAAATATACATGTCCATCCCCACTACATACCCAATATTGGATAATTTACAGAATAACCCATATTTAAATTAAAATATGATAATAATAATTATATAGAGGCGAGATTATTTTTTTAGCCTAAAGGTTATAAATGACCATAATTTTTAAAGGGGTGGACCGGTAAGCCAGCGGAAGGCCTCGGTCAGATGACCAAAGCTCCAAAGGTGGGTCATCATCTGACTAAGACCCGCGTCAGGAAACATTTGTCCTGTTTCCTGACGAACCTTACCTAACCTAACCTTTTAGCCTAAGTTATTATGTAAATTCTACAATGTTAGGAGGGATGTACATTGGATAAAATACTATTTTCGGTCAAGGGCAAAAAAAAAAAATTTTTAAGGGGGGTAACCAAGAAATATAAAATAAAAATTAAACCCAACCTTACTTAATCTAACCTAGAGTTCAATTCTAGTTTACTTTGGGTTACTTTTCTAACAACAAAAAATTTCTCCCCATATGCCCAAAACAAACCCATTTCATTTGTATAACCTATTCAATATTGGAGAATTTACATAATGAAAGACACAAGGCCCCTATTTCAAAATTTTTATAAATCAACAAGACTAATAATTAATTTTTTTGTTGGTTAGAAATCTGAGAGTACATGTTTGTCCTCAGATGGAAGAGATTTCACAGGCTTCCAGGCTGGTCAAAAGTGGCTAGGTCTTACTGTGACATGTGTGAGAGATTACACACGGACAACAGCACTAAGGTCTACAATCTAAAGAAATGGTTTGTCGATGATTCTCACTGCAAGTCTAAAAGCAGCCGGGATATCAGCGCCTTCATTAATGGGTATGATGTTTTCTCTTACATAACCTCTCCATCATTGATAATATTTATTATCTTTGTGTTATTAATGTGTTGCCTGGGCACCTTGGCAGCACTGACTACGTTAGGCATTGTAAACTTATAATATTGTACTATTTACTACAAATAATAATATATATATATATATATATATATATATATATATATATATATATATATATATATATATATATATATTATATATATACATATATATATATATATATATATATATAATATAAAATATATATATATATATATATATATATATATATATATATATATATACATATATGTATCTTCGATATAAATATCAAATTATTATATAATTTTTGTGGTTTATCTGAGATATATTTATAAAACAAATTTTGTTGAAAATAAGAAAAAGTTTTGGAGTGAGATTAACAAGTTAAGAAAGCCTAGAGAACAAATGGATTTGTCAGTTAAAAATAGGAGAGGAGAGTTATTAAATGGAGAGTTAGAGGTATTGGGAAGATGGAGGGAATATTTTGAGGAATTGTTAAATGTTGATGAAGATAGGGAAGCTGTGATTTCGTGTATAGGGCAAGGAGGAATAACATCTTGTAGGAGTGAGGAAGAGCCAGTTGTGAGTTGTGGGGGGAAATTCGTGAGGCAGTAGGTAAAATGAAAGGGGGTAAGGCAGCCGGGATTGATGGGATAAAGATAGAAATGTTAAAAGCAGGTGGGGATATAGTTTTGGAGTTTGGTTGGTGCAATTATTTAATAAATGTATGGAAGAGGGTAAGGTACCTAGGGGTTGGCAGAGAGCATGCATAGTTCCTTTGTATAAAGGCAAAGGGGATAAAAGAGAGTGCAAAAATTATAGGGGGATAAGTCTGCTGAGTATACCTGGTAAAGTGTATGGTAGAGTTATTATTGAAAGAATTAAGAGTAAGACGGAGAATAGGATAGCAGATGAACAAGGAGGCTTTAGGAAAGGTAGGGGGTGTGTGGACCAGGTGTTTACAGTGAAACATATAAGTGAACAGTATTTAGATAAGGCTAAAGAGGTCTTTGTGGCATTTATGGATTTGGAAAAGGCGTATGACAGGGTGGATAGGGGGGCAATGTGGCAGATGTTGCAGGTGTATGGTGTAGGAGGTAGGTTACTGAAAGCAGTGAAGAGTTTTTTACGAGGATAGTGAGGCTCAAGTTAGAGTATGTAGGAAAGAGGAAATTATTTCCCAGTAAAAGTAGGCCTTAGACAAGGATGTGTGATGTCACCGTGGTTTGTTTAATATATTTATAGATGGGGTTGTAAGAGAAGTAAATGCGAGGGTCTTGGCAAGAGGCGTGGAGTTAAAAGATAAAGAATCACACACAAAGTGGGAGTTGTCACAGCTGCTATTTGCTGATGACACTGTGCTCTTGGGAGATTCTGAAGAGAAGTTGCAGAGATTGGTGGATGAATTTGGTAGGGTGTGCAAAAGAAGAAAATTAAAGGTGAATACAGGAAAGAGTAAGGTTATGAGGATAACAAAAAGATTGGGTGATGAAAGATTGAATATCAGATTGGAGGGAGAGAGTATGGGGGAGGTGAATGTATTCAGATATTTGGGAGTGGACGTGTCAGCGGATGGGTCTATGAAAGATGAGGTGAATCATAGAATTGATGAGGGGAAAAGAGTGAGTGGTGCACTTAGGAGTCTGTGGAGACAAAGAACTTTGTCCTTGGAGGCAAAGAGGGGAATGTATGAGAGTATAGTTTTACCAACGCTCTTATATGGGTGTGAAGCATGGGTGATGAATGTTGCAGCGAGGAGAAGGCTGGAGGCAGTGGAGATGTCATGTCTGAGGGCAATGTGTGGTGTGAATATAATGCAGAGAATTCGTAGTTTGGAAGTTAGGAGGAGGTGCGGGATTACCAAAACTGTTGTCCAGAGGGCTGAGGAAGGGTTTGTTGAGGTGGTTCGGACATGTAGAGAGAATGGAGCGAAACAGAATGACTTCAAGAGTGTATCAGTCTGTAGTGGAAGGAAGGCGGGGTAGGGGTCGGCCTAGGAAAGGTTGGAGAGAGGAGGTAAAGGAGGTTTTGTGTGCGAGGGGCTTGGACTTCCAGCAGGCATGCATGAGCGTGTTTGATAGGAGTGAATGGAGACAAATGGTTTTTAATACTTGACGTGCTGTTGGAGTGTGAGCAAAGTAACATTTATGAAGGGGATCAGGGAAACCGGCAGGCCGGACTTGAGTCCTGGAGATGGGAAGTACAGTGCCTGCACTCTGAAGGAGGGGTGTTAATGTTGCAGTTTAAAAACTGTAGTGTAAAGCACCCTTCTGGCAAGACAGTGATGGAGTGAATGATGGTGAAAGTGTTTCTTTTTCGGGCCACCCTGCCTTGGTGGGAATCGGCCAGTGTGATAATAATAATAATTGTTCTCTCTACTAACTTATAAAACAATATAAAATTTTTTAGCTTATGTGCTGAGAGTTTAATATCTATATTAAGGAATAAAATAGTCTCGTCTGGTGGTGAACAGGTGATGTGAACCTTAATGATTTTCATGTAGGCGATTGTTTTATATCTTAATTAATATACCAGCCTAGGATAACACAATGAAATCGAACAAAGTAATGGATACTGAGTGGTGTGTATCTTTCAGTATATGTTCATGTTGAGAATTTGTTTTTAATTTCTTAAGCAAGGGAAGAATTACTGTTGTATAGACCATTCCCAAATCTGATAATAATAATATATATAACATTGACCAGAGGCACCTGTATATCTCTTGATGTGTGCGCCCAGACAAACTGCATATACAAGCGGAAATGTATAAATCTCAGTATGTATACTCTTGGGAGTTCATTTTAGTCTATACCTGGAGGGGGTAGCGGGGGTTAACGCCCCCGCGGGTTGGTCCGTGACACACTTGCATGTACTGATAGGCATTAAGCCTTGATTAGTGAAGAAAGGTTATTATATGGAGCCATAATTGATACTCTTGCAGTCGAATTATTATAATCAAAAAGAAGCGCTAAGCCACAAGGGCTATACAGCTCTTGCAGTCGAAATGTTTTAAAACCAATTAGCCTAATTAACCAACCAATACTACTACTACTAACAATAATATCGCATATTCCTCTTCAACTAATCTCACAACGCGTTTATTTCCTAGGTTCTGAGTTAATATTGCAACGTATCATCATAGTCTTGGCATACGAGTTCCCATCTGGCTACCATTACCTGGCATCTATCACAGCTACTGCTTTGTCCTGTTGATTTACACACGTGTCAACAACTGTACCAGGCCAATTGGCTACATGAAGATCAGGCCAGTCCGCAGTATGTTTCTGCTCTCTTGCGTTACTTTCGAAAATTAACACATTTCGAGAGAGGTAATGTGAACAGAATCTAATGAAGAATGATCCCTGATGAGCAATTATATTTGGAATGTTGAATTGGCATGTCTCCTGTTAATAACATTACTAAAAATAAAAATATATAGAATTATAGCCTTTTCAACCAAAGTTCTTACTATATGGGCATCTACTGAAGACTTTAGTGTCAAAACGCAATTAATATTACTTACATGTACATTCATACTGCTCTACATGACCAATGGAACTTTTCTCTCTTCCACTGTTATCACAAATTTAAGATGATCCAGCCCATTGGATTTACTATTCAATAAATACGGTTTAATTCCTGCATTGCTTTTTTTCCCTCCGACTTAAAGTCAAATTCATCCGTTAAAAGAATAATAGTCGCAATACTATGACTGAAATAATACACAAATAACCAATTATTATTATTATTATTATTATTATTATTATTATGGGAAACGCTAAACTCCGTTGGGGTCACACAGCGCCTGAAGTATAGAAGGTTACTTGGTTTGATCCAATAAAATGCAGCTCCTCTCCCTTGCATCAAGAGCCCTTCCTTCACTGGCATCAAGAATCCCTCCTTGAAGAAGTCTCTTAGCTGTGCTAGTTCTTAAAATTATTAATTATGCCAGTAACACTGACAGATTATGTGTGGACTGTATATATGTTCAATAGTATCAATTACTTGACCTGAGTAATTTGAGTGATTATATACAGATTAATTACATTAGACATTTCAATATTACTCACCAAATTATGATCTTGGTGATATATCCTAACGCCTCCCTATCGGTAGTCACCTAATTCACATGCCAATAAACAGTGACATTACCTATTGTGTGAGAATTAAAACACGATTCACGCGGTATACGGTTCTTCATCCAGTCCACACCGCGTCTCATTTTTCTATTATTATTTGCCTTAATCTGACATTTGCAGTATACATCGGAATTATTCCAGATGCGCTCCACATTAACTAATTTCCAAGAACCAAATTTACGCTGATATTATTACTATAAGCTATGATTAGTCACGATTCAATTAACACCCTTCATTAGAACAACATACACACTACGTCATTATCATGTTAAACACGCACTGCGCCATTATCCTGTTAAACACACACTACGCCATTATCCCATTAAACACACACTACGCCATTATCATGTTAAGCACACACTACGCCATTATCCTGTTAAACACACACTACGCCATTATCCTGTTAAACACATACTACGCCATTATCCATTTTAACCCGGAATGTTGGTTCTTCTGTGACTTGACATTTTCTAAAAGTCACATTAACACTCCATTATATAAACATTATTATCCCAGCAGTTCTTACACACAAATTACAGGAAAATGAACAAAATTTTCGACTATATGTAAACACAGGCAGCGTAGATAGTCTACTTAAAGAAACACTGCAGTGTAGATTATCTACCTGTAGAAACTCAGTAGCATAAATAATCTATTTGAAAAATACTTTGCAGCATAGATGTTATGTTAAAAACACACTTTGCAACGTAGTTGTTGGATATTGTTATTTTCTTATTGCTGTTATATGGATGACAGTAGGTTATCAAACCTAAGCTTCTTTGTATATTGTATGATGTAGTATTAAATGAACGTGATTAGAAGACCAGTTGTGGGGGATGGAAATCTATATAGACACTACTTTGTTTCAAGAGGCAAATTTAATCTGGAGAACAGGTGACGAGAAGTCGTGAGATGTGAATCTATGCTGGGAGTAAGTTTATTAAGGCATAGGTACACTAAGTACAATTATAATTGTGTAAATTACCTTCGATAATCCAGAAAAAAAAAGTTAGAGCTAGTATTCCCGTTAAGGTCGTTGAACAGGGGCAGGAGGGCGGTGTTTGCAAAGAACCATGTGAACCAAGGATCCTACCAGCTGGATGGTCAGGTTATTATAGAAATAGCGAACAAGCAACGTTAGTTTTCCTGGTATAAGGTGCCACTGTGGAGCTGATGTGTTGCTACTCAACTCAGATACTAACTCAGTAATAATAATGAGAACAACAACCAACTTTGGTTAAAATTTTATTTTTTTATTTTATTATACATGGAAAGTGTTAAGTCTGTGTGGGCCATTCAGCGCAGTCAGTAATGGAGATTGGATTCAGCGTCTGCTAAACGTGAGGCAGACACGCTGCCCTCACAATGTTAACAACCCTCACACGGGTCTTAGAGTAAGAGGCTCGTGAGTTTCCCTGCCTCCTAATATCATGAATATTTCTCCCCCTATAATCTACCTTGTCCATAATTAATATCCCATTTGCTTTGTCTGCTTCCGTAAGGTGAAGTCCAGGATCTTTCCTTAATTCATGGTATAACTTTACAAATCTTTGAGGACAATTGTGTTGTAGAGTTGTGAACTATGCTCAGACCTGGACTTCACCTTACGAAAGCAGACAAAACACATGGGACAGTAATTATGGACAGGGTAGATTATAGGGGCAAATAAACATGATATTAGAAAACAAGGGAACTGACGTGCCCCTTAACTATTTGGTTAAGATAGTTAAGAGTAAGTATATGTGAGTGCAATATTTGGGTTTTTACTTGTGTGACGTGTTAAAAAAAAAACCCCGTGACAGGATGTAGCGTCAACAGTGAATCCTTCTCATTATACACTTCTTACTCGCAAGAAATATAAGAGTACTAACGATTCCTGACACGGGTAAGTTTGTAAATCTGTAACCAAGTAACTGTCAGTAGTAAAAAAGAGGAATGTGTGGCAGAGTTTATAAAGACTAATATGTTATAGTTATCTATCACTCAGGGCACAGTTATCCTTTTATCTATAAGATGGAAAATGGTGAGACCTCCAGTAAAAGACGTAGATTGTGAATAATTCATTGATTATTTGTTAAAGATTCGCGGCCCGGGCCTTTTCCAAGTGGCGGCCCGGCCTTGGCTCCCTGTCTAGGGAGTGTCAGAGACCTAAGTCTCCCATGGGAGGAGGCACAAGTACCTCCTCATCTTTGGGACCAACTGTCCCCAGGCCTAGCCACATTCCCCTCGTAGGGAGAAACTAGGCCTCTCTGGTCTGCCATCCCCGCCCCATGGGGGGTATTAGGAATGACAATCTTGTGAGCTGCAAGCTCGGACTCAGGCACCTACCCTGCCCTAGAAGGGCTGGGCATGGTGTCGATCAATTTATTATTATTATTAAAGATTAGCCGGTATTCTCCCGGCCCGGGCTTTTTCCAAGTGGTGGCCCGGCCTTGGCTCCCTCTTTAGGGAGTGTCTGAGACCTAAGTCTCCCATGGGAGGAGGCACAAGTACCTCCTCATCTTTGGGACCAACTGTCCCCAGGCCTAGCCACAAACTAGGCCTCTCTGGTCTGCCATCCCCGCCACAAGGGGGCAAATGGGAATGACAGTCTTATGAGCTAAAGGCTCGGGCTCAGGCACCTACCCTGCCCTAGAAGGGTTAGGCATGGTGTCGATGTCGATCAATTCATTGAAAATTGAAAACTATAATTAGTACTGATGACTAATGAAATGTTTGTACCTCTTCTGATGATATGTAAGCTTAATTAAATTTGAATATAAAATTATATGTTATGTGTTTTTGTAGAAATATGTATAGATGATTTGTAATAATATATATATATATATATATATATATATATATATATATATATATATATATATATATATATATATAATATATATATATATATATATATATATATGCGAGGGGCTTGGACATCCAATAGGCGTGTGTGAGAGTGGAGATAAATGGTTTTAATAACTTGACATAATGTTGGAGTGTGAACAAGGTAACATTTATGAAGGGATTCAGGAAAACCGGTTAGCCGAACTTGAGTCTGGGAGGTGGGAAGTACAGTACCTGCACTCTGAAGGAGGAATGGGGATATTGCAGTTTAGAAGGGCATCTGAACAGTAATGTCGGCGCGTCTCTGGCAAAACGGTGATGGGATGAGTGATGGTGAGTGTTTCTTCTTTTTCGGGTCACCCTACCTCAGTGGGAGACGGCTAGCGATAAAAAAATATGTATTTGCTGTTGACATTATTTTGCAAGGTTCTGAATAAAAATATTAAAACTTATCTATATTATTATTAACCCTTTTATGATGCAATATATGTGAGGTCGCACCAGCAGGCAGGAACCTCCTGTAGAGTGACAAGTGTGTCTTAAAAACTAATCGCAAAAATAAGAAATGAATGACCAAGTGTGTCCGTTTCCCCTCTCACTCCTGATTTTATTGAAAGATGCTAATGAGGTATATTATAAGGAAAATATAAAACACACAAGGAATTACTAAGAACATTCTACGTCTGTAAGACAATACTGAAATATGATTATAGGTGTGAGATCTGCAACGCGCAGCTAATGAATATTAGACCTATAAGGTAACTAAATGTTGCTTAAGCTGTGACTGGAAGCTCTAGAACCGGAGCTACAGTGACTTACTCTCAATCAAGTTTTACAGAGGAATGTAACTCTTATGCATGCCATTTGTAGCCATGCCATTCACATACCCTTTCCAAAACCAGCGGCCCAGGTTGTATTCACCACAGGGACACAAAGACATAATACCGTGACTGGAACAATACACAAATAACCCTCACATAGGTAAATGGTCCGAGTCGGACTGAAACGTCGTTATAGCTTCTCTCTCGCCGAAATTAAAGTTATTTGTGTACTGATTTCGCCTAAAAGGGCGCCACAGACATTTCTACACGGCTGTTATGTAGGGAATTCAGAGCGAAGAAAGTAGAAGACGTGTGCCGGGGCTATCAAAGATTTAACTCAGAATCCTGAGAGAGGTTCTTCAAGGGGTTTGGCCATGTAGAAAAGATGGACACGAATAGGATGATCGAGAAGGCGCATAAACCGTGGGGAGGCGGGGTGAGGAGGACGGGAGAGAGGTAGAAAAGTTGCGGGAGGTAAAGTCATTTTTCAGTGCTAGGGGACTGAGTATTCAGTAGACAAGTGTGGCCATATTAGACTGGGGGTGAAATATAAGTGTTTTTTTTATGATTTTACAACCCCTCAAGAGAGGTTCCTTGATGCTGGCCAGAGGCTCCTCATGTGTGCTCCAATTCCCTGCAGCGAGCCTGAATGCCTTCCAACCCCCCTACAGGCGCTGTATAATCCCTACGGGTTAAGCGCTCTAATAATAATAATAATGACTTTACGTGTTGCTATAGTGAGAATAAGTCAACATTTATGAAGGGGTTGAGGGCGACCGATCAACCTGGAGGTGAGAAGTACAGTGACCACTCTGAAGGAGGGATGGGGTATTGCGTAATGTTTACCGTTTCTGTTACACAATCTAAATGAGAGACGACCACTGATAAAACAGACAAACACACATACACACAAATATATATAATATATATTATAATATATATATATATATATATATATATATATATATATATAATATATATATATATATATATATATATATATATATATATATATATATATATATATATCTTTCTTTCAACACACCGGCCGTATCCCACCGAGGCGGGGTGGCCCAAAAGGAAAACGAAAGTTTCTCCTTTTACATTTAGTAATATCTACAGGAGAAGGGGTTACTAGCCCCTTGCTCCCGGCATTTTAGTCGCCTCTTACAACACGCATGGCTTACGGAGGAAAAATTCTGTTTCCACTTCCCCATGGAGGTAAGAGGAAATAAACAAGAACAAGAACTAGAAAGAAAATAGAAGAAAACCCAAAGGGGTGTGTATATATATGCTTGTACATGTATGTGTAGTGTGACCTAAGTGTAAGTAGAAGTAGCAAGACATACCTGAAACCTTGCATGTTTATGAGACAGAAAAATGGACACCAGTCAATCCTACCATCATGTAAAACAATTACAGGCTTCCGTTTTAACACTCACTTAGCAGGACGGTAGTACCTCCCTGGGCGGTTGCTGTCTACCAACCTACTACCTAGAATATATATATATATATATAATATATATAATATATATATAATATATATAAATATATATATAATATATATATATTATATATATATAAATATATATATATATATATATATATATATATATATATAATGAACTCATTCTGTGAAAATCCAAATTTCTCCTCAGTGCTGCTACTTTCTTACTGAGTAATCATTTATACCTTTATTTAATATATGTACATTTATACAGTAGTTGCATATATAATACTATTTTTAAAGTTATTTTACCTATGAGAGCATTCTTGATGTTAATGTACAGGTGACTTTCAACCTGAATGATTCCATGTACGTGAATCAACATTGTAAATTTTCCAGAGGACTAATCCATTTGCAAACTTCACAATGAATTCCATTAGTCGTTATTCCTGGAGGTCAATGATGGTTCTGGGGAAGTGGTTTGTGATGCTACCATCCTCAATGATGGTTCAGGGGAAGTGGTTTGTGATGCTACCATCCTCAATGCCTTTTATCTGCAAAGAAAAGTTGAATCAGGTCACCTGATTATTAGTCTTACAGAAAAAACTTTTAAATGAAGTTCTACATTAAATAAATCTTATTGTTAAAAGTGGTAAGCCAGTAGAAGGCCTCGATCAGTTGACCAGAAACTCCAGTGGTGGGTCATCATATGATTTACACCCGCGTCAGGAAACACTTGTCCTTTTTCCTGACCTGTCTTACTTAACCTGTAGTTACATAATTTTTTTAAATGAATTAGGTAACTTGGAAGATTATTTTACGTAAATTTTAGCACGGTTAAATTGAGCTACTAGGCTATTAGTGAAAAAATTACGTTTAAAATATTTGCATTGCTTGTTTTACAGGATGGGGGGGGGGGGGTGAAGGAGAGCCTCTTGTGACAAGTTAGTGGAAAAGACTTTTGTAAATATAATTATTTTTCTATATTCATGTAGGGAAAGCTAGGGTCATAGAGCGCCTGAGGAAATGAAAGGCATTCAGGCTCGACTGAAGGAGTTAGAGAACAGGTCCAAACTCTTGTACGAAGAGCTCTTCGCCTGTATTTAGGGACCTCCCTGAAGGGGTAAATGTAAATAGCACTTGGTAAGAAAATGTCTAATGACAAGAATATGAATTCCTCTTTTTATAAGTGGTGTGACAAAAAAAAAAGGCTATTCGTAGCCTGATTTAATAACTAGACTGTTGTCCTGATATTATCAGAAACTTTGAAATGGCAAGACCATCAATTTATGCAGGTGTCTCGTACCTTAGTGTTCGTCTTGCAACAAAAATGACAAGAGTTCGCGTCCAAAACGAGGTGAGACCTGTGGGTCAGTCTCCTTACACCTGCTGCTCATATTTTTTTCTTTTATGTGACGTGTTTGATTCTCCGGTATAATATTTCCTTCCAGTAGACAGATATGTAAGTTTGTCAGACCTAAGAACCGCAGCGGTGACGAGTCTTCCTTTTACGCTTTCTTGGTTAATTATCCTCCTTTAGGTTTCTTGGTCTAATTCATAATTTTTTTTTTATAGAACGTAATTACAAATTCCGCAATGTATATTTCCTTCCATATATGAATAATTTGTTTGCATGTCGAGGACTGCCACATGATTCTTCAGGAAGAAACCAAGACGTAGTGTGGTTTATTTTCATTAGTATCAATCGGTCGTCTTTCCTAGGATATTACCCACAAAAGAAAAAAAATGTGCAAAGAGACTATGAAAAAAGTGATTATCTTACGTAGGAGATATGATATACCCATTAATGAAATCGCTGATATCTAAGTCGTGCTTGGTCTTGCAGTGGGAATCCTCAACGAACCATTTCTGCAGATTATACATTTTAGTGCTATTATCTGTGTGGAGTCGCTCACACAGGTCGCAGTATGGCTTTGAAAATGTTGCCCAGTCCAGCGGAATCCGATGAAACCTCTTCCATCTGAGGAGTAAAAAAATGCATTTAACGAACACGAAACTTCATGACAACGCGGGACTTCCAAAACATTGATTTCGCGCAGTGAATTCTCTTTATGCTCAACATTTAGTTTTCATAATATCTCTTTTCCGTACTTTTCTGATTTATCTACCAGTGTGTTCACGTAAAACATTTATTTCTTACTCCATTGCTTATTAATTCACATGCAGTTTTATCAGATTATTGTGTTGCATGGAGCTGCTATGAGAGTGCTACTAAGGACTCACCTGAAGTACTCATTGTAGGCGGTGTCGTTATTATGGAGGTAGATGAGGTAGTGTGCCAGCGCCTTGGCTGTGGGGAAGCTGAGGGCGTTAATGTAAGAGTGTGGCGGCGCCTGAAGGGAGTAATTGGCGCCTCCATATACTACAGGAATTACATCCAACCTGACGGAGAAAGTGTCAGTAACTCCTATGCCAGAGGTACCACATCCAGCCTGCTGAAAGATTTATTTTAACTAACATACAAAAGGAACCACATGCAGCCTGCCAGACGACCTGCCATAATAACATAAGAGAATAGGAACACTGTAGCAGGCCTACTGGCCCATACTAGGCAAGTTTTCTCTAATACAAATCTACTAACAAAAATATCTGGCCCACCCATTTTTAATACTTCCCAGGAAACAAGTTTTGACAACCTTACCTACTCACCAGAGGAAGCACGAACTTTTAAAGTGCTAAGTGACTTAAGAGTGCATCACATTAGCATGAAACTCGGAGGACAGAGGTGCAACACTAGCGTGGAAAGTTATTTCCAGTGTTACAGAACACTAGAACAGTCTGACCAATGAAAATGTAAGTGCTAAGGCAACAGTCAGTTTAGAGCGAACTGGACAAATACTTGGTAAATATTGAATTGAACTATATACAGTGCAGGAGCTGGTTGTAGCCAGTATGTAGCTCGTGTAATTGACAAACTATTTATTAATTTATCATGCATCACACTGGGCATATTATTACTAGTATTATTATTAGTAGTAGTAGTAGGAGTGGTAGTAGTACGAGTAGTAGTAGTAATAAAAGTGTAGTAGTAGTAGTAGAAGTAATATTGGAGTAGTAGTGTAGTAGTAGTAGAAGTAATAGCAATGTTGTAGTAGTAGCAGCACTGTAGTTATTGTTGTTATACTGTTGACTAAAAAGCTATATACTGTTATGGGTGATTCAGTGCTGCATGGGAAAAAGTGCTGACGTTAATGGAAAGTGGGTGACCTCATAATTCGTGCTCGAGAGGGAGGCGAAAACCGGGGGAAGTCATTAGAGAGTTGTTGTTGTATATATTCGTCAGGACAGAGTGCTAAGAAGTCTGTATATTGATTAGGATGTTAATGGCGAGACTGTGCTCTCTGGGAGAACTGACGGCTGAAAGGGAGTGCGAGAAAGACATATCCCAGTAAAATTGGGATATATGGGAAGTGCAAGAGAGAAGTTCGTAAGTCTTATGCCGGGTAGACTGTAGGATAATATCAGCATCCTAAGATGTGGGATCTAGAGTAGTGAGCATCTTCACGGACACTTCGGAAGCAAAATAAGGTGAAGAGAATCTGTTGGAAGTGCGTAGAAGAGATCGCTGAATGTCTTTCGTTACGTGACTCAGAAATCGTAATAACGTCTTTTTTTTTTCTTTTTTTTTTTTTTTTACAAAAAAGGCATGCTTTTTGTGATTCATAAAGTACCTTAATATATTGAAGAACTTCTCTGTGACGTAATCTTGACACAGTGAGTTCTCAAAAGAGAGATAGAACTTGTAGTTCTTCGACACCATAGCGTAGCACGATTTTCCCATATCCTTTGGACATCGGAGATCACCACAGCCACCGTACTGGTCGATCTGAATCCATTGTCTTAGCGTATTGACCAACCTTCAAAGGATTTTTTTTATGTAGGTAATTTTACAAACTATAAACTTTCCTATCTCAGCTCATTTCATCTCAAAGCCCAGCCCTGTTAGTCGACTAACAACCAGCTGATACAAAGGTTTCTACTAACATAGTTTATCTGTTGATCTTGATATGTGAAGACTACATTATACCCAATAATTGAAACCATGCACGAAGAGGTACATATCAGTGCAGTGCATATACACCGAGTTTACTTTCTTTTCTAAGGATTGAAATATTCTAGAATGGTATTGTGCAGTTCATAGATTTCAAATCTAACAACCCTCTGCTTACAGCTTTCTGCCACCAATTGTATTGCAGTTGGAGACAAACCACGCAGCAAACTTAGTCTTGCCCGCAGCGTAGTTCTTGGTGTCTGGTCCCAAGGGCTTCTTGCGTCTGTATACACGGCCGTACCTGTCAGTGCCACGGTCAAGTCTACACCAATATATATATATGTATATATATATACATATATATATATATATATATATATATATAATATATATATATATATATATATATATATATATATATATATATATATATATAATATATATATATATATATATATATATATATATATATATATTCAACAAGGGGGCGTTGCTATTATTTTCATAATTATAGTCACAGGGGAGACTAAATTAATACTCGTCTCACGACGCTTGAGAATTGAGGAAGGGTCTGGGGGATGTAGTAATGAGGTGTGATTCAAGGCAGTATGGTGACCCTAGCCTAGCTCTAGTGCCGGACACTTTCCTGCTAATATTCAGTAACATTCACGCACATGCGCGGACCTGGTGTGCGCATCCTTGACATTACGATTATCTGCGTTATGATCTTTGAAGTCTGAATGCGTGAAAGAACTCTGTGGGAAAACCTTTCACTGCCCTCAAGGCACCACCATACATTGAAAGTAACAGTTTAACATGAAATTCGTCAGGTCAACAACATACGGCATTGCGAAATCTGAGTTAAGTTTGTAGGTGAAGGTCCAGTTGTAGACATTGGTATATGGTACGATGTCTCGAAATAGATGAGCTGGGGATTCTAGCAGCCAGAAGATGTAACGTGTGTGAGCAAACCTGTGGATAAACACACTTAGAGAGATCTCAGCATAAATAAAGGGTAACATAAAATATAAAATATTCTACTGCTTACGTCCGGTCCGGTATACTCTATAATTATATATCTATGCCGGTATACATATGGGTATTTCAACTTTCAATTTCCTAACAGATTATGATTCATTTATTGAAAAATAAATCACAATGAAAAGCGTATTGCAAATATGAAAAGCGCTCAGATTATATATATATATAATATATATATATATATATATATATATATATATATATATATATATATATATGTTCATATATGTATATATATATATATATATATATATATATATATATATATATATATATATATATATATATATATATATATATATATATATATATATATATATATATATATATATATATATATAAACACTGATCTCTGGCTGAATGAGACTCGAACCTACTGTAAGCCTTCTCCCTGAAAGCTGGCTGCCTTGAATCAACGTGTAGCGCAAGCTGGACGCCAAGGCATTGTCCAGTGTGATGAGATTGGTATAGCACTGCGTACCTTGTTCCAAGGTTTGTAGGTTCGAGTCTCCTTCAGCCAGAGATCAGTGTTTGTGTATATTTCGCCTGCTCTTGCGAATTCCTTGTATATATATATATATATATATACATATATATATAAGTCCATATGGTGTAAAGACTGTAAGTGATGAACTTTTATATTTGATAAACAAAAATGCGTTTCAAAATGCAAATTAAAACATCAAACACATGCATAACTAACCCACAAATTGGAAATAAAAAAAAAAACTAAATGATACTTCGATCTACCTTGTATCAAATTTAGTTACATCGTATTTTTTCCAAATAAACTAAGATTCGGACCGTCATGCGCCTTTGTTTACTCTCAGTGATTTTCATATCCAGTGTCGGGTTGGCAGCGCAGTGTTCCATTAAACAGTTTTGTGACAGTTCGCGTCACGGTGTTATGCCGGGTGAGCGCCCCGGCATAATGCTGTGACGAGCACTGTAGGGCTGAGATTGGCTGAGTGTAGAGGGAGTCATTGTTTATTAAACACAAGAATAATATAGCATACTTCATGTTTATATTTCTTGCTTCTACCGTCTCAGAATTGATAAGGTCTTCCAATAAATTACGGATAGATATACGCCATTATAAACTTGGTATAAGGACAAATAATGCAGATTAAGACTTCATTATAGTCGACGTCTTGCTAAAGACTGAGCAGTATTGATGATGATAGAGCTCAGTCTTGCTCGAAACGTTATCTATAATACTCGTATATTTTTAATCTATAATGCGTGGCTTTATACACGCATAATGTATGGCTTTATACACGCATAATGCGTGGCTTTATACACGCATAATGCGTGGCTTTATACACGCATAATGTATGGCTTTATACACGCATAATGCGTGGCTTTATACACGTATAATGCATGGCTTTATACACGCATAATGCGTGGCTTTATACACGTATAATGCATGGCTTTATACACGCTTCTCGGCTTTTTGCTTCACTCACCACATTATAAATTGCCAACCTAATTTTTTTTTGTAGTGAGCCATATTGTATCTGCAAGTGATCGTGGAGAACACTCACCTTTGTGCCGGGAAGGAAGTGTCAAATGACCTATAGTGAAATAAAACAGCATCAATATCCTTGAGTGGGAACCTGGATCGGTCGCCCGTGGTCACGCAGGTGTCTACACGACAGCCGGCGTATAAGAACGGCTGACGACCAAATCCAAAATAAAAGAACTTGTTATCGTATACCTGTAAATAAATACATTACTTTAGAGATGGTTGGTTAGTGGGTCATTACGGCTATGAGGAATCTCTTCATCACCGATCAAGTTTTAAAAGGGAATTTATACGGTAACTTTTGAGCGGTAGTGTCTTACTTCGTTCCAAAATAAAATCTTCTTTAGTGGAGGGTTGTACGCATTAAGTCCGTCCTTCTCCTTGGGCGTCTCGGTAAAGAAATGTGTAGGTTCTGTGGTCATGTTTTCAGTGTTAGGTTCCTCGTAGGGAAAGTCTGAGTCCCCTGGCAGGAGGTGAGAAGTACTGTTCCCTCGCTGGAAGAAGGTAGCATGCACGAGAGACGAAAGAGTGTTGTTCACGTTCCTGCAAGACAAAATAAAAACTTAAGGAGGAACACTGCAACAAGCCTACTGGCCCATGCAAGGCAGGTTCTTCTCAATCCCAAATCTACTAATGAAAATAAGTGCCCAGCCCTGTTTCACTGCTACCCAAGCAACAAGCTTTGTTAAGCTTATTAACTCATGTGCAAGTTCCTCTCAAGTCCAACCCTCTCACTCATGTATTTATCTTACACTACTCAACACTATCTTACACTACTCAACACTATCTTACACTACTCAACACTATCTTACACTACTCAACACTGTCTTACACTACTCAACACTATCTTACTCTACTCAACACTATCTTACACTACTCTGTGAGGGAAAAGTTCAATAGATAGGAGTAGCGAGGGAGTATATAGTAACGATAGTTTCATTGCCGGCTACTTGTTAAGGTAGGGTAAGTCAAGCTCCCGCTATTCCCTCCTTTTTCCCCCACCCCGAAAGTGATAGTTTGACTGCCGGCTGCTTGTTAAGGTAGGGTCAGTCTAGCTCCCACTATCCCTCCCCCTCCCTCTTCTCCCCCCCCCGAAAAGTGACGTGTGGGGCTCCGGTCCAAACAGTAATCACTCGACTCACAGCTCCCAGCACTACTGTAAGTACATGCCTGCCTTGTATTCTAGTGGATTTATTGGTTGAAAGCTTCACTTCTGACCAATAATAAACTTAGTCCTTTCAGTCTTTCTCTAAGTTGACTGTTGTAATAATCACCACATCTTTTAAGTATTGTACTTATCATGGAGAGTTTTTTTTTATATTTTATTTAAAAACTTTACAGCTTACTATTAAATAAAAAGATATAAAATGGGTACAGTAGGATCCTCAATCCTACACAACATACACTAACAAGTTTTAACAACACATTGTAATTGACATAAAAGAGGTTACCCATATCATGTGGGAGTTCGAACACGTGGATTGGGTAAAGTAATACTCACGTAGGCTGGTAGTACGTATAATTACAGATAATGTGGGGAGCACCCTTACAGCCGTACCTATCTCTCTTGCTCACTCTCGTCAACTGACTGGCCTCCCACAGTACCCATATGTGAGGGGGTCTTTGAATAGTGCTATGGTCAGCACAATATGAGTTCAGACAGTGACTCAGGCAGAGATGGTTGGTAGCAAGTCAACCACTGGCACACTGGTCACCGGCAACTGGTTACTACTACTGAGAGCTCGGCGACGCCACCATTTATCATGTGGGAGTTCGAACACGTGGATTGGGTAAAGTAATACTCACGTAGGCTGGAAGTACGTATAATTACAGATAATGTGGGGAGCGCCCTTACAGCCGTACCTATCTCTCTTGCTCACTCTCGTCAACTGACTGGCCTCCCACAGTACCCATATGTGAGGGGGTCTTTGAATAGTGCTATGGTCAGCACAATATGAGTTCAGACAGTGACTCAGGCAGAGACGGTTGGTAGCGAGTCAACCACTGGCACACTGGTCACCGGCAACTGGTTACTACTACTGAGACCCATATACACTCACAAATTTTTCCATATAACATACTACTATAATATAAACAATATAAACTATATAACTATATAAACTATATAAAATATAAACTATATAAACCTTTCAGATTTGTATAGTTAACATACTATGACTGACATATGACAAAGGTTCACAACCTTCACAGTAGATAATCAGAGGAATGACCTACATCACAATCTCAGTTAAAAAAAAAAATAAGATACATGCACTTCCCAAAATTAACCTCCTATACAATAAGAATTACCTAAAAACATACATACCTGCCTCACTACAATCCCACTTTAAGCATTGAAGAAAAAATGAAAATCCTAAGCCTCACACTTATACTAAATAAATATTAATAAATATTAGTAAATATTAATACAGCCTCTTCCACCGGCTGAGCACATTATATATAGTAAGAGACTAAACCATACTCTCCCATTACAAATTTTTAACGAGGCATTACAAAATTTATGGAAGTCATTAGCGTTCCATCTCTCATCAACTGGATGACACATTATATAATGCTAAAATAAAGTCAGACACTCGCTAAAAACCCCAACACTAAACACAAACAACATAATTTAAATAACCTCTCATTGCGATACGATTATCGCACATGAAATATGCCCAATAAAGGCTATAAACGCACACTCTACATAAGCCCAAAAGCTCTTCAAGGTCTTACACCTATAATCTTGACACCATTCACACTTAATACATGAAGAAGATCATGACCCTGACACATCAAACACACAATTCTACATTCGTTACTACGTAATTACTTGATCAACCTTTGTTTTCTGTGCCCACTTGCATGCTACATACACTTATGCCACACATCTACACTTCATACCCACATACACCTTACTCTCACCCCTCCCCAGGAGGCGCCCCGCTGTGTCCCCCTGAAATCCCCCTTCTCGTATGTAATCCCCAACCCCCCCCTTACTCACTCAGCCAAGTCGTAGATTCATGAGAAACCCTAACGTTAACATTCTATACACTTCCGAAAAATCCTTCTCCCACCTCCTCCCATACAGTTCTCTATTACGACCATCGTACGATAAACCGTTTACGGTCTAGTACCTCCCGCCTCCGCACCTCACAATCCCCCCTCCCCCTCATCACCCACGATATATATATATAATATAATATATATATAATATATATATATATATATATATATAATATATATATATATATAATATATATAATCCACTATTATATAATCCAAAGCTCTTATAACACTCTCATCGAACCTTTCCCACATCTAGGCTTAGTGCACGCAGAACCGACACCCCTCGGCCCCCCACCCCTGTTACAACCCTACTTAACAATACCTAACACCCTCCAGTCCCCCACAAAAGTAACTGCATGGAGCGCCGTCTCATCCTCCCCACAGATTCCACACCTTCCGCCCACAATTACCCCTCTGGTTCTTAGTACCTCCCCCGACGGTAGTATGCCATGCAGAAAACGATACGTTACCTCCCTTACCCTAGGCTTTAACTTCAACTTGCTAAACCTATACCAAATACTCTTCCATGCGTACATGGGGAACAATCCCTCAACTGGTACAACAATCCTTTCTTCAAGCAGCCTACACAAAACCCCTACTCGAATTTTCCTGGGTTTTCTAACCAACATCAAAGCCCTCAAAACAGTTTCACATTCCCTCAACTCCACACCACCATACAACTTACCCACTCAAGGAAGGTTCCTTGATGTTGGTGAGGGGCTCTTGATTTAGGGAATTGGATCTGTGCTCCAGTTCCCCGAATTAAGCCTGAATGCCTTCCACATCCCCCCCAAGGCGCTGTATAATCCTCCGGGTTTAGCCCTTCCCCCTTGATTATAATAATAATAATAATAACATACAACTTACCCAACCTATCATGTATTTTTCCCAGCTGCCCTCCACTCATACCTTCGCGCAAAACCTCCCATTTAAGAAACACACATTTAATCCTCCTTCTCAGATCCATCAACCCCAACCCACCCTGGCGCACATGTAACATTACAACCTCTCTCCTCAGCCAATCGCACCTTGAACCCCACAAAAAGTTGAACACTCATCTCAGAATTCCCACAATCGCCGTCCCTGTTAATGGGAACACGGCTGCTACGTGCCAAACCTTACTATACAATAATACATTTATAACAATCACTCGTTGTACGAGAGTCAGATGATGAGGTCGCAATGCACCCAAACGCCCTGAATCCTTTCCATTAATCTATTCGAGTTTTCCTCTCGAGCACATCCAAGTCACCCTATATAGGTGATACCACAAATTTTTAAAGACACCTTTTTGTTTCCTCACAACGTTACATCTCCCCCCCCTCCACCCCATCACCCAACCCATGATCATGACTTCTCTCTATTTACCTGCATCCCTTTTGGGCATTTCTGAACTGTTGCACATCATCCAAAACACCCAACGCCATCCCCTCTCGAACCAGGACTGTTGTATCGTCTACATAACCAAATTATTCCAGGCCAGACTTTCCCGACCTCCCCCACACCTCCACTCGTGTCACATTACACAACGTTCAACCATTCTATAGAGGGGGTCCTAATGCACGCAAACAACATTTGTGACATGGGACACCCCTGCCTAAGTCCCCTACCCATTACAATCTCCTCCCCCAAGCATCCATTAATCTGTACCCTCATCTTAGCTCCATTGTACAACGTGGTTACCCAATTAACTATTTCTTCCCCATAACCCTGCCTCCTAAGTATAGCTTCCAATGCTCCCCTTTCCACCCTGTCATAGGCCCCCTGCCAGTCTAAGGACAACAATGCCGCCCTCCCTCCCCCCCTTTTGACTCCACAAAACTTCTCAGTATTCCATGACCCTCAATCATCGACCTTCCAGGTAAACCATACTGCGTTTTCGAAACCACTCTCCCTACCACACATTTAAACCGATTACCCAAGACTTTAGCGAACAACTTATAATCAGCACATAACAGAGATATGGCACGGTACTCCTTGAGGGTGTGCTGCCCCTTACCCTTCTGGACCAACACTACAACTGCTGTTGCTTGCTTGTCCCCCATCACACCCTTCTCCTTCATCTGATTAAATAACCTACCCATGAATCCCCTTATCACCTCCCAATGTTGGAGGTAAAATTCAGCCGGGAGACCGTCTAGTCCCGGTTCTTTGCCCTTCCTCATTCCCCTTAAAGCCAACTCTATTTCCTCTTCCGTTATTACCCTCCCTAAAGCCTTTCTATCACTATTCCCTAAATTACACATCACATACTCACACACCTTCTCTAAATCCACATTCTCCACCTTCCCACTTGTCCAATACCCTTCATACCATTTATCCACATATGCACACATTCCTTTCGTAGTTAGTATCTCCTGACCCATTCTATAACCCCCCGCCATCTCATGTACCTCTAACCTCGGAATAGCTGTAACCCACTGTCTTTTTTTTGCACGTCTCAACACACGACGCCGATGGCTTGTCTCCCCAAA